ATTCGACTATAATTTATTATAATTTATACGACCAAAACTATACGGTTTTAAAATAAAGAATGTTTCGATCGTTGGTGTTAAACTTTAAATGTTTAATTTATAACCTTGAGGTATGAGATCGAAATTAAACACATTGAATTCATTGTCCTTCAAGAAATTCTTGGCGAAAACAAAAAAAACTGTTTCAAATTGAACTCTCTTTCTCCACTCATCCTTGCCTGAAACTCCCGTAATCCCTCAGAAGCCTCGTGAGATGTTGGTTCAATCGTCAATTTGGCAATTTGACCGCCGGTAATTGTCTTTTTCCCTCGATCAAGTCTTCCCTCCTTTAGTCATTGCCGTAGTTCCGAGCGGCCCACAATTACCTTTGGCTACTTCCCTATGATAACTCGTTCTGCCTCAATGCTTCTTGATTGGTCACATGACTTGCCTCCTTACGGAGATTTAGGTCCATTATCTCTGCGTCAATGCTTCCAGTATTTTCCCTAGCTAGTTTACCATACTTTCGAGAGATTCCCGCTATCCTAACGTAGTTTCCTTTAGTAAACCTGTATGCCTCGCTGACTCTAATCATCTGACCCTACTTCCGTCATAGTTCCGGGTTAACAATCTCATCTCACTGTAACCAACGAATAATAGATCACACCGTTAACATAACGAATAATAGATCTCACCGTTAACATAACGAATAATAGATCACACCGTTAACATTACGAATAATAGATCACACCGTTAACATAACGAATAATAGATCACACCGTTAACATAACGAATAATAGATCACACCGTTAACATAACGAATAATAGATCACACCGTTAACATAACGAATAATAGATCACACCGTTAACATAACGAATAATAGATCACACCGTTAACATAACGAATAATAGATCACAGCGTTAACATAACGAATAATAGATCACACCGTTAACATTACGAATAATAGATCACAACGTTAACATAACGAATAATAGATCACACTGTAACCAACGAATAATAGATCACAACGTTAACATAACGAATAATAGATCACAGCGTTAACATAACGAATAATAGATCACACCGTTAACATTACGATTTACGAATAATAGATCACAACGTTAACATAACGAATAATAGATCACAGCGTTTACATAACGTTCACTAAAGTGTTCGTAAATAAGTCTACTCCGTTGTGCTATATTGCACATGAGTCTTTAGGACCTTTCTAGTTAACAGTCTAATAGCCCACAATGTGAGTATTGTCATTGTTCGCGCGGTAAAAATCCGTTTTTCAGCCACATTTCCGAAATTAAGCATTACGGGTAAACCGCCCCTAAAACGTCACCTGTTTTTTGGGCCCAGATTGCCGACTGCCGAGTTAGGGCTAAATTTACAGGGTTCTAAAGTGTCTAGGAATAATATTTAAACCTTTTTCTAGCCTGCCAGGAAGATTTGGAAATTTGAAAATAAAATCAGGTACAATTTTTTTGACGTTGAAATGGAGTCACTTTTAAAACACCACCCCTAAAATTTCAACTCTATATGTGTGATAATTACAAAATGTACAGGAGGCCTGATTTATCTTTTGTCACTAGTACTATTTGTTTTGTCTTATTAAAACATTAAGCTACTTGAAAACATTCACTCACTAAAGGAAGTACCTCAAAACCGTAATCACCCCCTAAAATGTCACGTGCACCACCCCTAAAACGTCAGCTAAAACAGGTTGTGTAGCACTCAGAATGTTGCTCAATTATTAATTTTAACCATTTCTGGGACAAATATAACCTATTTCTGAGAGGTGTCGACCAGAATTTCTCTCTCTGTTGAAAAAAAATGGTGGAATTTAGTCAATTTACTTTTTGCGACATTTTGGGGACTTTTTTTTGAATACCCAGAACTTACGGCAAAACGGCTGTAGGACTATTGAGCGGAGGACTGTTGAGCGTAGGACTGTAGGTCGGTGAAGGTCGGAAGTAGGACTGTAGAGCGGTGTCAAATCGCCAGGGTAGGACTCTAGAGCGGCCGCCCTTATAGATCTCACAACATGAGGACTTTAGAGCGGTACGATCCTAAAATGAGGACTGTAGAGCGGTGGACTGTTGAGCGGTGGACTGTAGGCCGGTGAAGGTCGGAAGTAGGACTGCAGAGCGGCCCTCCCTTATAGATCCCATAACATGAGGACTCTAGAGCGGTACCCTCCTATAACATGAGGACTCTATAGCGGTTGAAAATTTGAAGATTGAACACTCAACGAAGCTAAGTTATACATTGTAACTCGTGATTGATTATGGTTATGACATTCTAGGATGATAACTTTATTAAAGAGTCATGGAGTTAATGAACATTTTCATTTACTTATTATAAATATTTCATTACTTATATTATAGTGTAACTTAATTTAAGATTATTGGTCGGTTTCAACGTCTTCCAAATGATTGAAATATTCCCCTGCTACTCAAAAATGTAAAACGTGTCTTCGGTATTTTAGTGAACTGTTCGTATCAACTATCAATGTGATTTCGCTAAGCAGAGTACCGATCAAGTTCGTGCAGATCATTTAGGAATGAGGATCGCATCGCGTGACGCTTTAGCGCCAACTAAGGATATCTTATGTTCATCAATCTGGTGACGGGACTGATTCAGATCAGATCCCATCGCAGTGCGATATCTTGTTAGGATTTCGAAGGTATGGTATAAATATCACGGAGTATCCAGTTTTCGTATATCAAATTCGATTCCTACTCCAGCGAAGTCCTTCTTGGTACGTGGACGCAACTTTCAGAGTATGTCCTCAGCTATTCTATCAACTCTTAGTGATACACGCAGAGATACCCAATCATCAAGGTGGAGCACCCTGGGTCTTTCCCTGTGTCCCCTCTCAGTCGACGATGTTGTCCCATCATTCATCGAGCTCCTAGACCTAATCCTAGGTCTAAATGACTCTTTAATAAAGTTTTCATCCTAGAATGTCATGACCATAATCAATCACGAGTTACAATGTATAACTTAGCTTCGTTGAGTGTTCAATCTTTTCAACCGCTATAGAGTCCACATGTTATAGGAGGGTACCGCTCTAGAGTCCTCATGTTATGGGATCTATAAGGGAGGGCCGCTCTACAGTCCTACTTCCGATCTTCGCCGGTCTACAGTCCACCGCTCAACAGTCCACCGCTCTACAGTCCTCATTTTAGGATCGTACCGCTCTAAAGTCCTCATGTTGTGAGATCTATAAGGGCGGCCGCTCTAGAGTCCTACCCTGGCGACTTGACACCGCTCTACAGTCCTACTTCCGACCTTCACCGACCTACAGTCCTACGCTCAACAGTCCACCGCTCAATAGTCCTGCTCCCGGCAAAACAGTAACTCAGTCAACAAAATTTACACCTGTAGTTAGATTATCTAGTTATAAACTAACAATTGGCACAAAAGAAATGGATTCAATGTGATTTTAACCTTGTGCAAATTGCATGTTTTAATTGCATTTTTTGGGATTTTTAACATCATCCTGCATTTTGGCAATTTTAGTGACCTGTAGTTAACTAAGCCAACCCAGTAATCGATCTGACCATCTCTATAGACTAGATTTGACTGCTTTTAGCAAAATTGAATGTCAAAAACTACGGTTTTTGGTACTTACTAGTTTATGGTTAACCTATGATATGCCCCCTAAAATGTCATTTTTTCTCCCCTAAAATGTCAAATTTGTATTTTGTTCGCATGGTGTGCGATAATAGCTCTTGTTTTGGCACTTGTTAATTATTAACATCAACTATTAACGAAATGTGAGTATGCATTGCATCTTAGGAAAAGCCTGAGTAATTTGATCAGGTTAATATGACATTTTAGGGGGGATAATTATACATTTTAGGGGATGTTTATTGCAATTAATAAAATAAAACTAATTCCTTGAGCTGCCAAAGCTTTCCAATATTACCATTAGATGCTAAATATGATGTTTAATAGGCTGGTACCTCCATTTTATGGTGCTTGTAGTCTCAAAGCCAGAATCTGATAAAATGACATTTTAGGGGGCGGCCAGGTGACATTTTAGGGGAGGGTAGTAATATTGAGTAATGTATAACTTTCCATATCTCCAGTCATATGTACAAAGTTGCTAAAATATGTAAATATCACTATCCTAGACCAAAACCGAGTTAATATTAATGAATTCCAGAGTTATAAAATTGTGCGCTTTTTTTCAAAAGTAAAAAATTCGTACAAAGTGAAAAAAAATGCCCTTATGGCATCATTTAGATTCAATTTCAGGATGTAGCAGGGTCTGAATGATATTTTTTTATGTTTAGGAGTTACAAATGATTAGGTAAGATACTTTCTAAGAAGATGGGATCCAATCAATCAAGAGTGGCGTTTTAGGGGTGGGTGACATTTTAGGGGCGGTTTACCCGTATAAGGTATATATTGCTTCATAAGTTGTATATAAATATGGCTATTAGGCATATTTTGGTGTATCGGAATAATCTCTACGACGTTTCTGGGCTGAAATACAAAAATTCGAGAGACCGCGAAACCCTAAAAAAGGGTGTGGCCGAAAACGCCCCTATTGCATTTATTACAAAAATGCAATAGTGGCCAAATTTTTAAAGCATCATCTAGAGAAGTGATAACCGCCGAGAAATCGCTTTTAACACAAAAAGCTAACGAGTTTCCTTTTCGTCTCGGACTATTGAAAGAAGTATTTAAATAATAAATGATCCGTAACTTGATCCTAACTATAATATAATAATGCTTTTGGACACGAAGGGAAACACACAACGTAAGGCTTGAAATCTTTGTAAAACTACATCATTAGAGCCTGTAAAAACATTTAATTTTAAGATAAGCACTCTATCAAGTAAAATTCATATACAATCATCATAGTTTATTAACTCAAAACATAAGTAAAAATAACGCATGCGCATCACACTGCACTTAGGTACTTAGAATGCAAATAATAATTGAAACTAAGACGTTACAACGTTTTTACAAACGTTTTGGTAACTATTTGATTACAAAAACAAATACAGCGGGTTGGTTCCGACATAAGAGACAACCAAGTAAAAAGAAATAATATGTAACATTGAAATTCTGAATTCTAATGATCAATCATCATTCCAACGGTAGCGAAGAAAAGGGTGAACAAGATAGTTCCACTCCAAGGTAAAGCACTGGAGTCAGCTGCAGCCGGCTGGCATCTCGCGACAGAGTTGAAGAAGTTAACCTCATTTTGGATACTGGCGGTGAAAACTTCCAGAGCCTTCTCAGCTGTGACTACTCCTGCCTCGTAAGCCCATTCCACTTGATCTTGGTATTCCATGTATCCGGTACTGGTTGGGACAAGATTCTCCTCCACCCAAGAAGTGTAAACTCCGAAATCGTTGCTTCCAGATCCGATCTGTTTGCCTAACCAAGGCCATAGCTTGGCACAGGGTGTCAGCGCCAGGATGGTATACACAGGACTTTCATTCTCAGACACATTTCTGATGTGATCCACGTACGCTTGACCGGCTTCTCCCATCTTAATACCCCCAGCATTCTCAACATGCCAAATGTCCTTCAGCCACTCCCAGTATTCTTCCCAACTATCAGCCTTGGACTCCATGAACTCTTTGAGCGTAGCGTTGTCATTGGAACGATCCCCGGCTTTCTTGAGAATCAACGAATTCTCGTAACAGTAGAGAGTATCATCCATCATGTAGCCTCCAAACTCAGATGGGTCCAGGCATCTCTCCATCATTCCGTATATCAGACTAGAGTTCAGGGCTTGTTGCTGGTATTCAGCTGTTTGCTCCCACAAGTAGTCAGATAACTTCTGTCCATCTTTAGGAGAAGTTTGAACCAAGATAAGGTGAGCTACGACAATGGTGAGAAAGAAGAGGTCTTTGTTCATAGCTGAGGGGTTGATTGGTTAAGGTCCTAAGTTTCTGTTCAAATTAATGTTTTATAACGACAAGGTAATTAGATGATTAGGATTTAGGCCTACAAAATTATGTTACAAATACCAACAACAACTATTAAAACTTTTAAGTACTGTGTTACTGAGTACTATTTATAAACTATTATAAGCTCAAATACTGGTGTTGAGAAGTACTAGTAGCAGGGAAGTACTAGAATTGTCGATCATATCAACAGCCAAACCCCGCCTATAATGATAAAACTATCGAATTACATATGAACTCAGGATGTGTTGCGGAAGGAGTAAGTTACTTCCTCTCGCCCAAAAGCAAAATTAAATGGGTTAGCAAACTAAACGGTTCATGCCAACGCAATCGTCAGTGTTTAAGAACTGCTAAAACCTGGCTATATAACCTGTAACGCACGTCACGTAGCAGCTCTCGCCCAAAAGCAAAATTAAATACTAAGTAATGACTATGCAATTGTGCTATTTTGACATTTATATTTTAATACTTTAAAGACTTCAGTCTATTAAGTAAGATATCGTGATGTTTGCTGGTAAACATGTAAGCCATTTAAAATGTAAGTAAGTCTATTGTGAACTGCTTTTAACTCTCAAACACTGAGTTTATTTTCATTACAATAACTGTGTCTATTAATTGATAATGTGTCCACGCCTGACGCCCCACAAGATACTCAATGTATTATTACAACTGTACAATCTCTTTAGTTATAGTGAAGTTGTGCAAATGACGCCAAGCAGCGATGACAGACGCCCCAGAAAATATAATATAATTATCAGGGTAGTTACTCACGAAAGATTGCCGAGCTTATAATAGTTTATAGATAGTACTGACGTGCCTGTGATTCTGGGTTACTTTAATCAATCCCACCCAATTGTTATTATCCTACTTAAAACTTAAATCTGCTCAAAAATTAAATGCCATGTTCTCAAAATGTCGACCTTAACGTCTATATTGTATTTCCTTATTATGCTCAAACATAGCTGAGAAGTAAGAATGCAAATCATAATTGAAACTTAGACGTTACAACGTTTTTACAAACGTTTTGGTAACTATTTGATTACAAAAACAAATACAGCGGGTTGGTAACGACCTAAGAGATAACCAAGTAAAAAGAAATAATATACAGGGTGGGCCAAAAGTCAGTACCCATACGTTGGGTCTTATACCTCCGCTGTGTTTTATATTTGAGAGTTGTTGCTTTGCAGATGGCATACTGTACCTACTTGTTCGAGGATTCCGTCGCCAAAATTTGAAGATTCGAATATTTTAGACCACACCCATTCAATATGAAACACCTTTATTGTTTTTTCTGAACATGCTGGACGCCTAATTTTTTCAGAGACGGTAGATTATTAAATGTTGCATCTGATCTAAAAGAATGATGTGAAACGGATTTGAAATGATGAAGTTATCAAGCATTTTGTGTATAACGTTAACAAAATTGACTGGGTGATTATGTGACACCGTGAAACGACACCTTAATTGGTCAGCCTTAACGATTCCCATAATGTTTAACGGGGTGGTTAACGGGGTCACCTTATCACGTGATTAGGTAAGCCAATCACCTGATCACACGTAATGACTAAACTCGTTATGCTTCGTATATCGGTCATCTGAGAAGCTACAACTCTCATTTTTTCAGGACAAACGTAATTCGAATGGCCAAACACAATTTAATAAATTTTGGCTCGATCCGACTATCTAAACTATCAAATTTATGCGAAAATGAGCCTTGATTAAAAAAAATGGTACCAGAAAGAATTACGTCAAATAACGTATGGGTACTGACTTTTGGCCCACCCTGTATATCAAAATAGTATGCGGGTTCCTGTAAGTGCTGGTGCCGGCCATGGTTGTCCGAAGTAAAAGAAAAATAGTGGTTTTCATAGATGACCCTGCTGCCTTGCAGCTTAACAACGTAAAGTCCAAGAACAACAATAATTGGTGTTATTAGCTGAAGTAAAATTTAAAGAAATAACGTCACAAAGAATAATGAAAAGGTTGCAAAGTGGGCACTTTATAAAGGTTAACTTAGGTGGGGCTGGGGTAAGAATTTTGGTAGGATAAGAATTGAGTATGGGTTTGTAAACATGTTAACGTAAGATTTCTGGTGATACCAGTTATCTGACTGTTGTTTTGGTCAGTTACTATGAACATAATGTTAGACCTTCAGAATCCTATTTGTTCCTGTAATATTCGACTATCTGAAGGATTTCAAGAGTCCTCTTCAAGGAGATAAGCACATAGCGTTGACACATTGCAGTGAAGTTGTGCAAATGACGCCAGGCAGCGATGACAGACGCCCCAGAAAATATAATATAATTATCAGGGTAGTTACTCACGAAAGACACATTGCAACAGCTGCACTTTCGCTTTTGGGTACTAATATCAGACGAAGCCTTTTATGAATATCACGGTCAACTCTTTGCTTCGTGAAATATGGAATTTACCGTTCAGCAAGAAAAGCGATTTATTTTAATACATAGTTTGTTAGGCATCATTTTTATCATTGAAAAAATACAGTTTTTTACTCACGATCTTATTTCATTAAGATTTCACCTTGCCATAATAAAATCAATAACGTTATTCTTACAATAGCTGTAGTACACCTCTGCACTTCCCCATCACCATAATATCTCGAGCATGTTTTAAAGAGTTAATATTATGTGAAATTTCCATCCGAGGTTCACAATGATCCTTGCACAGCTAGGTTTTAAAACTATAAACTACTGCAGCATCGAGGAAGATAATCCTACAAAAATAGTAATGTGTAGAAAGTGTGCTGTGGCCTTGAAAACTTGGATTAAGTGGTCAACCAGCTTGTCTTCAAACAGCTGCGCATCCTTGATAGCTTGATACACTATACAGTATAGTAGTATTGTTGAATTGGAGCTGCTAGTTAGTCTGGGACCTGGGTGATAACCCATTAGAGCATTAGGGTTATGATGTCAAATAATTAGGTCAGAAAAAAAATCATGAGTTGAATAGCTCTTACAATAAACATATTTGATATTGAGATATTGTAACAAACATATCGATCTAGAGTTTACTCTGAAAATCGTGCTGGTACCTGTTCGATCAGTTAAGGTGACGATTGCCTTGATCTTCTGTTTCAGTTTGTCTACCACACAACTCAGCTCTATTTTAACCCCCTAAGTTGAACCGAAGGTTCAAAATATGTTGCTAATTGTTGCTCGTATTAACTATAAAACATCAATTTTGAGGGATGAGGAAATGTTTATAGGTTCTGAAACTTGGTTAAATCGATTTCTCGTGCAATTTTGAAATGACATTAACAAGGTCGATTTTTCGGTTATTTTCAAGCTTTCGTTCAGAAAATAAATCTGAACCTCCAAAGGGGGTAACAAGAGGGAGTTACAAGCGTTACAAGCGTTCCATAATACAAAATGTGCATCACCTCTTTCTTGTGCTGAACAGAACCTAACCCTTTAAAGTAAACAAATATGCCTCACTTCCCCAAGAGAATCCACATCTATAATCTCAATAAATGTGTGTGTGCGTGTGTGCGTGTGTAATTTACGAATATTAGTTTAATTAAAATTCCTGATAAAGCCTGAAAGATGCAAACGATTTAAAAATCCGACCATAAGACAGTCTGTATCTAATCAAACTATTTGCAATGAATGGATGAGAAGAGCTAGGTATTAGTTGACATACAGAATGTGTATCTAATATCTATAGCGGGGGGGGGGGTGTCACGTCCGTCTATGTCCGCTTGTCTCATAGAATCCAAAAAGGACAGGACATAGGCGGACATAGGCGGACATAGGCGGACATAGACGGACATAGGCGGACATAGACGGACATAGGCGGACATAGGCGGACATAGACGGACATAGGCGGACATAGGCGGACATGGGCGGACATTAATAGACACCTAAATTGCTAAATAAAATGTTCAATTTTTGCTGTTATAGGGGGATCATGTTTTTTGTCCGTTCGGAACCCTATATTTTCAAAACGGACAAAAAATAGAGCGGACAAAAACGGACAAAAATGGACAAAAACGGACAAAAATGGAAATAACATTTAGATGCTTCCTCCTCCTACTCTTCCTCCTCCTCCCCCTGGGTCTTCCTGATCTTCCTCAGTCCTTTTCCTCCTCCCCTCCTCAGTCCTCCTCCTACTCCTCCTCCTCGTCCTCAGTCCTCCTCATCAGTCCTCAACAGTCCTTCTCCTCAGTCCTCCCCAGTCCTCCTCCTCCTCCTGAGTCCTCCTCCTGGGTCCTCCTCCTGGGTCCTCCTCCTCCTCTTCATCCTCCTCCTCTTCCTCCTCAATACTCAGTCCTCCTCAGTCCTCCTCCTCATCCTTCTCCTCAGTCCTCCATCCTCCTCCTCAGTCCTCCCCCAGTCCCCCTCCTCCTCCTCCTATTCAGTCCTCCTCCTCCTCCTCCTCCTTATCAGTCCTCCTCAGTCCTCCTCCTCCTCCTGAGTCCTCCTCCTCCTCCTCCTCTTCCCTCTCAGTCATCCTCCTCAGCCATCCTCCTCAGTCCTCCTCAGTCCTCCTCCTCAGTCCTCCTCCTCCTGGGTCCTCCTCCTCCTCTTCATCCTCCTCCTCTTCCTCCTCGGTCCCTAGTCCTCCTCCTCCTGGGTCCTCCTCCTCATCCTTCTCATCAGTCCTCCTCTTCCCCAGTCCTCTCCCAGTCCCCCTCCTTCTCCTCCTCCTATTCAGTCCTCCTCCTCCTCCTCCTCCTCAGTTCTCCTCAGTCCTCCTTCTCATTTCTCCTAAGTCCTCCTCCTGAGTCCTCCTCCTGAGTTCTCCTCCTCTTCCTTCTGAGTCCTCCTCCTGAGTCCTCCACCTCCTCCCTCTCAGTCATCCTCCTCAGTTATCCTCCTCAGCCATCCTCCCCAGCCATCCTCCTCAGCCATCCTCCTCAGTACTCCTCAGTCCTCCTCCTTCTCAGTCATCGTCAGTCCTCCTCCTCAGTCCTCAACAGTTCTCCTCCTACTTCTCCTCCTCGTCCTCAGTCCTCCTCATCAGTCCTCAACAGTTCTCCTCCTCCCCAGTCCGCCTCCTCCTCCTGGGGCCTTTTCCTGGGTCCTCCTCCTTGGTCGTCCTCCTCCTGGGTCCTCCTCCTCCTGGGTCCTCCTTCTCCTCCTCAGTCCTCTTTCTCCTCTTCCTCCACCTCCTCCCTCTCAGTCATCCTCCTCAGTTATCCTCCTCAGCCATCCTCCCCAGCCATCCTCCTCAGCCATCCTCCTCAGTACTCCTCAGTCCTCCTCCTTCTCAGTCATCGTCAGTCCTCCTCCTCAGTCTTCCTCAGTCCTCCTCCTCCTCCTGGGTCATCCTCCTCCTCCTCCTCCTGGGTCCTCCTGGGTCTTCCTGATCCTCCCCAGTCCTCTTCCTCCTCCCCTCCTCAGTCCTCCTCCTACTTCTCCTCCTCGTCCTCAGTCCTCCTCATCAGTCCTCAACAGTTCTCCTCCTCCCCAGTCCGCCTCCTCCTCCTGGGGCCTTTTCCTGGGTCCTCCTCCTTGGTCGTCCTCCTCCTGGGTCCTCCTCCTCCTGGGTCCTCCTTCTCCTCCTCAGTCCTCTTTCTCCTCTTCCTCCTCCTCCTCCCTCTCAGTCATCCTCCTCAGCCATCCTCCTCAGCCATCCTCCTCAGTCCTCCTCCTGAGTCCTCCTCCTCCTCAGTTCTCCTCCTCCTCCTCCTAGGTCCTCCTTCTGGGTCCTCCTCCTTCTGGGTCCTCCTCCTCCTGGGTCTTCCTGATCCTTCTCCTCCCTCTCAGTTATCCTCCTCAGTCATCCTCCTCAGTCATCCTCCTCAGCCATCCTCCTCAGCCATCCTTCTCAGCCATCCTCCTCAGTACTCTTCAGTACTCTTCAGTACTCTTCAGTCCTCAAAATGTTTGTCCGCTAATGTCCACCAATGTCCGCTAATGTCCACCAATGTCCATCCAAGTCCGCCAATGTCCGTCCGGGTCCGCCAATGTCCGTCTGAGTCCGCCAATGTCCGTCCGTGTCCTTTTTGTCTCATAGAATCCAAAAAGGACAGGACATAGGCGGACATAGACGGACATGACACCCCCCCCCCCCTATAGCTAACTCAATATACATATAACATGCATATAAGAGTTATTTCTAAAAACTGTAACTCTTATAAGAAGCAATTATTTTACTTGAAAGAAGTATTTAAATAATAAATGATCCGTAACTTGATCCTAAATATAATGTGAAATAACGCATGCGCATCAAACTACACTTAGGTATGAATTACGTGATTAGTAATTAGTAATAAGTAATTAGTAACTGGTAACTAGTAATTAGTAATTAGTAATTAGTAAAACAAGCCCATCTTCAAGTTCGAAGTAGACTCGTGCATATTCGATTCTGAAGGCTAGATTACCCATTTGAAAACGACCAACGAACCAAGGCGAATTCCTTAAATATGAATCATTCTCAGATCATGTTGTTACATGAACACTTCTGAGTTTCGTGTTCAAATTTACGGACCCCTATTAAGTTTATTATATTTCAGGTATGGCTGGTGCTGCCAACGGGACCTTTACAAATGGAAACTCTCACTCCAACGGAAACGACTCAACATCTGGACTTGGGCCAGCTCAACAGTCGGTATGTAATAAATAGTCTCTCGGAATAGCACTTCTCCCTAGCTCCCCCCCCCCCCCCTGGCTACGTGCCTGATCAGAATAGCACTTCTCCCTAGCCCCCCCCCCCCCCTGGCTACGTGCCTGATCAGAATAGCACTTCTCCCTAGCCCCCCCCCCCCCCCTGGCTACGTGCCTGATCAGAATAGCACTTCTGTTCTCTAACTTACTTAATATAATTGCCGTTTGATCGAAAATTGATTTTTGGGCATAACGTTTGAAGGTGTCTATTGTTAATAGTATTGCGTCAATTCGGTTGAACATATCAAACTTGATCGAATCGAAAAATACATGTTTCAATGTTGAACGAAGAAAGGCAGTTCAGTAACGTAGCTAGAACTTATCATCATGGGGTTGGATTTTGGGAGAGGGCTTTGGTTGTATATTTAAAATACAATTTAAAAAAATTAAGTAAAATAAAATTTTTAAAAACCAGGAGAAATTTAGATCAATGGATAATTGCATATATATATATATAAGATATCTAAATCAAATTACTATTTGACAGGTGTTTGACGCACTGAAGAAGTCGTCCTCGGATATAGGGATGAGCGTGATGGAGATGTCTAAGATAACAAGCCACCTCTCAGTCACTCAGGTAGGGCGTGCAGCTGTTAACTTATAAACATATTGTGTATTTAACAAATTAATTTAGGATGAACGCACCTGAAACGCACTCCAATTTATGATAAAATACATATAAGAGAATGAACTGAAACATCCTTTTTACCTTTAAAGTCCAATAACAAATTTGGATATATTCCTCAATAATTATAATAATTACTTCACCTGATTCCTCTCAGATTCGGAGTGCTATTGACTTTCTGAGCAACGAAGGCCACATCTATTCAACTGTTGACGATGAGCACTACAAGCTGACAGACTACTGCTGATATGCTGATAAACAAACTCAAATTGCTAGGATACTCCGTAGAAGCTTATTAAATCAGTTTCAGCCTCTTTTGGATAAGCAGAGGATGTTTGTTTGTTCGGTTATAATGATATTTGGTAAACGTTCAGCGGTTTTATGCATGGGCTGCTATGATTCCTTGATCTGTTCATAAGATCCTTTAACAGTAATTTTTACCTGTCATTTCCCTCTTCTCAGTAAAATGATCTTTTTAACATCCCATTTTAAATTCAAAATCAATAATTACGTATAATTTTAAATTATATTGACTTATTTATTTTAAAACTTTCCATATTACATTTCACTGTGATGTTTTAATTTCTTTAGTTCGACAAATAGACTTAAAATTGGAACTTACTTTTAATTACTCATATTAATCTGTAAAACAGTTGTTGAGAATTGAGACTTTATTTATCTAAATTTTAAACATGTACCAGGGATCTGACCATTCTAACATTATCAACTTCCCTTATAGCTGAAAAATGGTTCAAGACAGAAAAGAAATTTTCAAAGTGGTCCTCGCAGGTTTTGGGCGTGCGTTATGACCCTCCCGAAACATTGTAATACGAATTGTTCGGTTTCAGAACAACTTGTGTAAATCCTTTTCAGCTAAGTTCGTGAACAAATTCTTTCAACGATTTGGATTTTGGGCGAGTATAAAGGCAGCAGTGTTACAGCTGAGAAGATTTCGATAATCCTGATTCGGCATACTTTCGTGAGTAACTACCCTAATAATTGTGTTATATTTTCTGGGGCGTCTGTCGTCACTGCCTGATGTCATTTGCACAACTTCACTGTAACTGAAGAGATTGTACAGTTGTAATAATACATTGAGTATCTTGTGGGGCGCGGACACATTATCAATTAATAGACACAGTTATTGTAATGAAAATAAACTCAGTGTTTGAGAGTTGAAAGCAGTTCACAATAGATTTACTTACATTTTAAATGACTTAAATGTTTACTAGCATACATGAAATCTTACTTATTAGACTGAAGTCTTTAAAGTATTAAAATATAAATGTCAAAATAGCACAATTGCATAGTCATTACTTAGTATTTAATTTTGCTTTTGGGCGAGAGCTGCTACGTGACGTGCGTTACAGGTCATATAGCCAGGTTTTAGCAGTTCTTAAACACTGACGATTGCTTCGGCATGAATCGTTTAGTTTGCTAACCCACTTAATTTTGCTTTTGGGCGAGAGCTGCTACGTGACGTGCGTTACAGGTTATATAGCCAGGTTTTAGCAGTTCTTAAAGTTAAACACTGACGATTGCGTTGGCATGAACCGTTTAGTTTGCTAACCCCTGGTTTCACTTTTTACAGGTTATGCATTAAATTAATATTATATACATACATATTACATAATACATACCAAGTCAAACAGCAGGTTTAAAAACATACCTTAAAACTTATCGCTCGAGGCACTCAACAGCCAAGGTATTATTATGTTCTGAAACTTCCGCCAGCCAGTCTGAGGTGACTTGCAGTCTGTCCTCATATTACTCTGGCAACCCTTGCGGGAAAATTATCGGTTACCTGTTTTCACCACTATTCGGGGAAATAATTCCCGGAAAATATCATGTATTATATGACTTACATACAACTTCTTAATGATCAATGTTGGTTATCAGCGTGTCTACCTTTTATGTTATCTCAAACTTTAATAATATTAATTATTACATAATATTGTCTGCAGAAACGCTCATTTGTTCATCTTAACATCGAAGTTAGGAAATAAGCGGGTGTAATTTTTCAAAGGATTTACGTACTTATTAATGAGTGCCTTAAAATCAGTATATCTGTCCTAATTGGATTTTTGAAAAGAGCTGGGGGGGGGGGGGGGGGGTGGGTATCTGGTTTGGGCTCTGGCATATGCGAGTTAAATATGGTCATTGGTCAGGGCGAAAGATAAATTTTAAGTAAATTGTTCGCGTTTTTAAACCTATGCCAGGGAAATTGATTTTAAATATAGTAAACTAAAACCCGATAATCGAAATGCAGCGAAATTTTGAATTAGAAATCAGTTATCACTTCTGTTTTAATTTCTCTTCATCATCTAGATCTGTTTTGTAAAAAGTATGGACTTTCATTTGACGACAAAGTTCTAAGTATTCCCTATACGTTTTATCAAACAATATCAATCACAACCAAATTTATGTACATATATTTATTAGTCTGAGAATGAGTGTAAATGTAATCTAGTCATGACGCATCATAAAGCACGAAAACGCGCATTGGTGATCTGTGCTTGCTCACGCACGTGCAATATTTGTAGGTTGTTATGCGACGAGGCTGTAAAACTTAGCTTAAATTAGCTTACAACGTCTATTTGCCCTCACTTCCGAGGTTATTGAAAAGAAATCTAGAAAGCCTAAGTAGCTGCGTATCCTTTTTCTACAACCTTGCTAAAAATCTCGAGTTTCCAACCTCATTTTCGAGCTCCAATTTTGTTTAGCATCTAGTTTTGTGTTTGGGAGAGAGCTGCCGCCGTGATGTGAATTGTGTCGGCTCTTGCAAATACTGAATACTGATGATGATAGGCTGTGATGTGATAACCTTAATAATGCTGCTTGAAAGCCCTTTATCAATGCTTCAGCTAGTGTTCTAGTTTATTTCAGAGTTGAAAAATACGTATTTTACGAATTTTATAAAATATCAAAAATACGTTAAATACGGCGTATTTTATTTTCGTTGAATAAAATACGTAAAAAGTGTTATTGTACCATTGATAGCTCCAATAAAGTAATGAGTACTATTGCTTTAGATAAATTTACGATTTTATCAAAACTCGCGTAGCTCTGTCGTTTTCACCTCGCATATGACTTCAGAGTACTGGGCACGTGCTATACCAAAGCATTAAAGCGTGAAGTTAAATAGAAATGTGTCTGAAAAAAATGCAAACGAATGACATAACTTCAGTCTTTAAATGAAATTTCAAGAAAAACGTATTTTAACGTATTTTTGACGTATTTTATTTCTAAGCAAAAATACGCAAAATACGGCGTATTTAAAAAATTATCTCACGTATTTTTCTACTCTGGTTTATTTGTATATGTAATTACGACCCCTTTTTTAAAAAAAGGGCTGATAAGGAATCCCCTTCCCAATTTCTGGCACATTTCATAAATTAATATATATTATGATACATCGTTTGAATTGTTGTAGAGTTATTCTCTAGACTGCCAAACTGAATCTCATTAGAGGGCTTTCTCTTTTTGATGTTCTCTGGTTGATCAACTTGATTTTATTTTATAAAATAGCCTCTGGTAACTTTTGACTTTTCGAGCTCTTGTTTTTAGCAACATGTATTTCATGTCACTTGTTTTAGCACAGTGCCTTGTGATGGAATCAGAATCTTCGAAACTTGAACAGAAGTTATCTGACTACTTGTGGGAGCAAACAGCTGAATACCAGCAACAAGCTCTAAACTCGAACTTACTATACGGGATGAAGGAACGGTGTCTGGACCCCTCTGAGTTTGGGGGCTACATGGTGGATGATACTGTCTACTGTTACGAGGTCATGCAGTGTCTGAGAACAGCAGCAGAGAGGTCCAATGACAACACCACTCTTCAGAAATATCTGTATTTTAAATCTGAGAGTTGGAAAGGAGTGGGAGCCAAGTCCTGCGATACTTGGCACATCAAAAGTGCCGATGGCATCAAACTGGGAGGGGCAGCTTCTGCCTATATTGCCCACATCAGAGACGTTTCTGAAAATGACAGTCCAATATACACGTTATTAGCTCTTACTCCCTGTAAAAGACTCTGGTCTTGGCTAGGCAAACAGATCGGATCTGGAACTAAAGATTTTGGGGTGTACACTACTTGGGTGGAGAGAAACTTTAACCCACATAGTACGGGGTACCTGGAGTATCTAGACCATGTGGAGTGGGCTTACGAGGCAGGAGTAGTCACAGCTGAGAAGGCTTTGGAAGTTTTCACCGCCAGTATCCAAAGTGAGGTTAACTTCTTCAACTCTGTTGCAAGATGTGAGCCCGCCAAATCGAGTAAGTCTATTCTCAGTCTGTATCAGTATCACTACTACATTCTTTCATAAAGAAACCTTCGTACATTATAAAACATAATACCTTGACTTAATTTCGTGCTTAGCACTAGTCCTCACATACGTTCGGGCACTATCGCGAGCAGCACTTAATAGATATTTTGGTATCGTACATACTCATGAGAGAGTTGGGAATGAACAATGTGTTCAAATTATTAAATTGACTTCTTAAAAGTGGTATGATTAATGGGTCTGTTATTTTATTTAAATATCCTACTTAAACATAAAGTGCTACACGGTATTTTTGAATTATATTCCCCTTTTCTGACGAGTTCTATTTTTCAGGAACAAGACTCTCGACTGACCGAAGTGAATTATAAATCTGCACGCATTCAGCTTTCCAGATCTCGTTCGAGATTTAGCTCTGGAAGGAATCCATTAAAATAATAACTGTTTTCAACTGTATCAGAGTATATTATGGCCGTTCACTTTTATTCTATTGACTTGACTTACGACTTGTTATATTTAATTTGTATCTTTTATGTTGGGTAATTTTCTGTTATTTGCTGCTGGCTTTTGTAAGAGATTTGTTCATTTATTCATTGAAACACTTAAAAACGTGTGTGTATTTATTGGACTATTGGAACTTACTGGTTTGGATAAACATTTATATTCAAATTCAGACTCAAATTTAACATCACCTTATATCCAAGTACCCTCTTTATACTGGTGAATGGGCCATCTCAATCAGCCGACAAGAAAGCACATCACCTTTTGAAATTATATTTTTCTTCCTGAGTAGTAGTTTGCCATCGCATGAGGATCTACATGTCAAATTTAATGTGAACGGAACTATTCAAATGAGTTCCAAAGCTTCCTCGGTGAATTTCAAGGCGACTGGCGGATCAGCCTAAGTGGAAATATAGTTTTTGATTGGTTCAGTGAAACTTCTATATACCGGGCCTCTCGGGGGGAACGGAAAGTGCGCGATATAGGAAGGAAAAAACGATTTAGAGAGGTTCACATGATCCCAATCCCAGTATTTGTAGCCTCTCAGATAACCGGTCAAGCGTCTCATATATCCAATTAGAGCCTAGTATGCCGGTATTGTGATGGAATGTGCACTCAAATCACCGCCAAATGCGATATGAGCTATGATGATTCAAATTTCTAGCACAAAACGAGTGCTGTAACTGTAGGCTTGTTTTAACACAGACTCTCATTACAGATACGCGGAATAGAGTTTATTTACTTGGTTCCAAGGGGGAGTTAGCATGAAGGCAAACCCATCTGCTCTCTCACATTTTACGAGAGAGAGGGTGCGAGTGGGGGCACAAACTGCCTTCACAACGGGAAAATAGCTGACACAGTAAATTATTAAGTTTTAAGTCTGATATTGATTTTGAATATTCTCTTACTAAATCAAAATGTTTCATAAAAGTTATTTCAATGTTTTACTGTCTCAACAGAGTGATTTTGTGCAAAAAGAATAGAACTGTAAATTTGAACCGTGCATAATTAAACTCTCGGCCGTTCTCAAGCTAGAAATTCACTCATAGACGTGGAAAATAAATTATTCTTTATATCATAAACCTGGGGAACTGTACAAAATTTAACACTGAACGTACTCAACTTACTTCATAAACCTGGGCCCTGGGGAACTGTACAAAATTTAGCACTGAATGTACTCAACTTACCCACAGCACTTGCACAACGGGGACCGTGACTGATTCAATTAAGTGACGAGAAATTTACTTATATTATATCTACTACCGTGCCTGACCCCAGACACCGGGAAATTACTCCAATATATTACACAATTTTACTTGTACAGATATGTAAATTTTACCTCTAAGCACAGAATTACGTTACATGACTTGTTTTTGTAAAAATATCCCAATGACTTCCACCTCAGCACAGCCATGACAACGATAGAAGGACTGCTAAAGCGGCTCAAGGCTTGCGAGAACGACTCTGAAAAGTTTGCCCTCCTTATTGTAGTATCCAAAGTGATCAAGCCGGATCTAATGTCACCTGAACTGCAAGAGAAACTGTCCCAGGCTGTCTCGTTTAGGTTCGTGTCCAGACTCTTGAGGGTGGATTCTCGTCGAGAGAATTCCGGTCTGTACTGGCAGATAGCAGCTGCTGTTATGAAAACTTGTTTCCTCAGTGAAGCTTATTTGGTTCCTTTGCTGGAGTGTGCTGATCGTCTCATCGAAGTGAGTGTATTCATTATGAATCAAGTACCACGAATTGAGCTCACGATTATTTAACAATCTACCATTGATAATATCTACTACATAAGATTTTTTGGAAACACTACACGAAGGTTATCAAATATTTCACGTCAGCGCATTTTACCGTGTTTACATGTTTACATTTTTACATTTTCATATTGTCGATTACTTCAGGTAACACTCGAATCCAAAGAGACTGATCTCAAACAAGACGTTCTGGGCATATTCCAGTTTTTAGCCCACGCCATCAGCCCAGAACAGGGGGTACAGCTATTAGACAAACTGTTATCAGTTAATGTTCAGGACTTTGAGGATGTGATCGATTGGTGTTCTTTGATAGGTCTTTTGTTCAGGAAACTTCATCAAGGTGGACACAGCAATAGCAAAACCGAAAAGAGCTATATTTCGACAGCTGAAAAAGTCATAAACAGCGTTGAAACTGAGTCTCCGACCTCAGTGGATAAGAATTTGAACTTGCTGGTTGGTGCTATTCAACTTGTATCCAGCACCCCTCTCCTCTACCAAAAGATCCCTAGCTTCTCCACAGTCCTATCTGTACTGAGAACCTCTTCAAGTCTAAAATTCCAGCTAATAAACGACAAGTCCTTTTAAAAGTAGCTCCCTTTCTAACGGAGGTTTACTCGTGTTCTTCCTGGGGAGGCACTAAGATTTGCTACTCCTTGACATGCATTGAACTGAAGCTAGCCCTGGAGGAGCTGGTGCACAGATTTGAGGAGTCAGAAGAGGTTGGAGTGTCAGATAGGTGTCTGGAGACTGTTGTGGTGTGTTGTGGAACTATTGAGAATTGCATTAGTGAGATGGTCGATGAGAACAATAAATTGGAAGGTGAAGTATTGCAGGGGATTATTGATGATATCCGAATGGCGATGACAAGCATCATGTTTTACATACAGAAGGGACTCTACGAGCAAGCCACATTTGTACCTGCTTTGAGGTTGTTCATGCGGTGGCTTTCGGACGATTCAACGGATGTTAACGAAATAATCTCCACTTTTAGTGCTCTCAAAGACTTTTATTTTATTAATCAAAACTACTCCGACTATGGGGGCTTTTTGGTTTCTGCTGTCATTTTCCAGATGGAGGACAAGAAATTTAGAGAATACGTTCAAAATGATTTGGTTTACTTTTTACTCGAAATTTCTCTTGGTGGTCAGAACTCCTCGAACCCTTTGTACTTGCTCCAATATTCAACGATCTTTTAACATATGACATATTTTTGGACTTGGAAAAAGTATCTGAAGGGGAAGGAGTATCCCAGAGTTTATGTAACCTCTTTTGTCACGAGGACAAGGTTTTATCGACCTCCTCGCTATGTCAGATACAAGTTTGTTCCTATCTGTTATTGTGTCTTACCAAGAGAAATCAACCACTGCAGTCCGTGTGTGGCCATTACACCAGCAGTGGATGGACTTGTAAAGCCATTAATTACCTCATCTCTCCTTTCAGAGGAGTGGAATCTTCAGAGGATTTGGCCGGTTTAAAAAATGTGTGGCTGAGCTCAGTACATTCCATTTATGATTTGATTGAAAAATCCTCCGAGGAGATTCTGTTCGATGGTGTGGATATGGATGTTTTGATCAGGAAAAGTGCGAACTATTCAGAGGTTGGGGATGAGGTTGCCGGGGCACTTGAAGAGTTGTTGTCACTCATTGTCAGTTCAAGTTGACATTTAAAAATATTTAACCGCTAATATATTATATTTTTTTAACAAATTTAATTTATCCGTTTCTTGTGTTTTCACTGCCAACACAATTACTGATTACCAAATACCTGTGACCCTCTATTAGAATAGTTAATTTCTTAAAATCTTAATCTAAAATTAAGTATCTATCAACACACTTAACTTACTGTCAGTATCTGATCACACTCAACTAATACTGTCAGTATCTATCAACAAACTCAACTTACTGTCAGTATCTATCAACAAACTCAACTTACTGTCAGTATCTATCAACAAACTCAACTTACTGTCAGTATCTATCAACAAACTCAACTAATACTGTCAGTATCTATCAACAAACTCAACTTAATGTCAGTATCTATCAACAAACTCAACTTACTGTCAGTATATATCAACACACTCAACTAATACTGTCAGTATCTATCAACAAACTCAACTTACTGTCAGTATTTAACTACACTACTCTTACATTAGCTTAGCCAGGCCCGATGTCGGGGCGATACCAACGCTACGGAGCTGGCTCTACTCGGGATGAGGATAAAACTGATCAAAATGAGAACTATGAAGCCAGGGTCCGAACTGCCAGGTAATTAATATCATTGTGGCTTCCATTTACATGTCATTATGTGGAATAATCGCATGACATCTGGTCATTGAAATTTATAGCTGATAATTAGTCCTGGAGTTTCAATTCTTAGAAACACAAACGCAGAGACCTACGTTAAATCCGGATCGAGATCTGGACAATTATTTCTTCTTTAAAAACATATTTATTGTTGAATCTGATAAGAAACAATTATTCAATTATAATTATCTACACAGGTTCAATGATAACCTGGACAATTATAATTATCTACACAGGTTCAATGATAACCTGGACTTGAGGTTCGGGTACGGTCGACATACCGAGCCTGCTGAAAAGGTGGGCTGGATGGTCAACATGCAACCAACCGAGATCATCGACGAGGAGAAGAGACTGGTATCGGCCATGGATTACTATTTCATACAAGGTTATATAATTAGTGGGAAATATCTTATGTTTTCCAGCTTATCAACCATGTTTTAAATATTTTACTGTTTAAATGTTTAAGCACTTTAAAGTGGAACGCAGATCCCATTATTAAGAAATTTTTCAGAGGATGGTGGGAGGTTCAAAGTTTCCATCCCGTACAAACCGTACTTCTTCGTACGGGCCACTGCCGGTGCTGAACAAGATGTTTGCTCTTTCCTCAGGTAACTGTTTGAAATAACCGAGAGACGGTTGCCAGCGTTTTATTCATATATATTTAATGTAGTTAGAGCTTTTGAGGAGTCCTCGCTCTCCTCACGTCCGACAATGACGTTTCTCTTGATAATCAACTTTCCATATTGGCCTTGGTACGAGAAATTTTCATTTCCGAAAATATTGCCATCCCAAATAGCAAATTAGTTAAAAGATGGTGCTGATTTTCCAAACGAATCAATATAACTGGTAGTGATCACTACTCGCTTGACTGAATTTCACAATAATGGACAAAATTCTGCAGTAAAAGATTCAGTGGGACTGCAATGGGGGTGGTGCAGGTATCAAAGGAAGACTTAGACCTCAAGAACCATTTGATCGGACTTCAGCAAATATACATCAAACTCTCTTTCTTGACGAACGGTGACTTACTGAAGGTAAGTCCCCCAATTTTAAATAGGGTACAGTTTTTCTTTGATGTTTACTAGGCACAATGCACATCCTTGTATGTACTACTGAAAATGAAAATGTATTACAGAATATATATATCCGCAACGATATCTTTAAAAAAAATCTTACATCCAATATTCAAGCTTCTTAATTTAAGACAGTTATTAAAGGTGGCATGTCCTGCTAGGTAAGGAAATACATCACATCAGTTGTGAACAAGAACAAGACGAAAGATAAACAGGAAGATGTGTATCGAGAGATGATGGCACCTCATCACGCCACCAAAACTAACTACGGTAACATCCCGCTCTTCCGGGTGCTAACGGCTACTGTTTAACCGCCGAGATAAACTTCTTGATGTTGTGATTTAGCAGAAATGTATTGTAATTTTGAGAGTTTTACGGTTGCCTTTTGGGGCTGTGGTTTAGGTGTAAGACGCACTAATTATTATTCTACTTTTAACGTGTTTTTTATTTTTCAGGTCCAAAAGTACATACAGATCACAGCACACACATTATAGACATGAGAGAGTATGATGTACCCTATAATGTGCGGTCTAACATTGATAAGAGTCTCTTCGTAGCTCATTGGTATGTTAGGGAAGCCTATCGGCCTTTAGGCTTCTTCTAATTATCGATTCTATTTTATTTCATCGTAGAGCGAAATATTTATGTATTGTTCTGAGAGGTAGTCAAAACAAAATGATGTAATTTCATGGCAGAAACTTGATTTTTAATCTCACCTAATGAGGGGGGGGGGGTGCCACGTCCACCTAATACTCCAGTAGCCTGTAGCAGGGAGTAGCTACTAGAGTATAATGAGCTATTTTCCAAACTCGCAGGTACTCAGTAGTTGGTCAAGGTCAGGACGATCCTATTCTCACAAAACGGCCAGACATAATCGACCCGCCTGACCCGGTGGTCTTTGCCTACGATATCGAGACCACCAAACTGCCGCTCAAATTCCCTGATTCTGCTATTGACTCTATCATGATGATTAGTTACATGGTGGACGGCCAGGGCTATCTGATCACTAACAGAGAGGTTTTGCGGACACTTTTTAATTTGATGTTTTCGTAAATTTGTTCGTTTTTAATGTGTTTTATTTTATAGATTGCAAGATAAACATGTTTATGTTACAGATGCTAAAAATACGATTTTATAATGGTGTTTATTGGCCAGGTTGTGGGGGAAGATATAGAAGATTTCGAGTACACTCCCAGACCGGAGTTTGAGGGACCCTTTATAATTCTAAATGAGGAAAATGAGAAGAACTTGATACTGAAGTTCTTCGAGCACATACAGGAGCTAGCGCCTAATATTATCGTTACATACAACGGGGATTTCTTCGATTTCCCTTATGTCTCCGCACGAGCTGAATTTCATGGTGAATTATGAAACATTGTTTAAAAATCGATCGTCATTCTAAATTCACCAGCCTTCGAATCTGGATTGTCATTGTATTTTTTGCTATGAGGATTGAAATAATCATGTCAAATCATAAAACGTTAACTTTGCTACTGTATTTTTTAAATTGCCATCTCAAACTAATCTCCTGTCCAGGTTTGAACATGTACGAAGAGATAGGGTTCAAGGAGGAGTCAGGATCAGGACAATGGCTATCACGGCACTGTTCACACTTGGACGCGTTCTACTGGGTTCAGCGTGACAGTTACCTCCCTATAGGTTCCCAGAATCTCAAAGCTGTTGCTAAAGCTAAGCTCAGATATGATCCGGTTGAGGTTGACCCGGAGGATATGTGCCGAATGGCTGCTGAACAGCCTCAGGTAGGGAAACAGTAAAACACTCGATATAGAGATAAGAAATAATATTGATATCAATTTAAGCAATATAGATTACAGGGGAGTAAGGAATAGCTTACTGATGTCTATTTAAAACACCAAAAGCAAAAGTAACTCATTTTTTTAGTGTTTGAAAATCGATTTTTAAACCCGAGTAATCAATAAATCAGTCATCATTCTTTAGACACATCCCTCCTCTGCCACATTGGCTGATTCATCACCGTGTCAGTAATCTCCTTCTATCACTCTTACAATCTTACTGATCTTCTTTGTCAAACAAAACATGTGGTTTCTTCCTGCGAGGTGCATCTCTTTTCACCAGACTCTCGAATCCTGTCGTATCATCTTCTACTGAACCATCTGCAATAGTAAAATCACATAAAAGTTAGAATAATTGAACATTAAAAACTTTGTGATACTCAAGCGGGGGGCTGTTATATAGAAGCCATCACTTCTAAGATTTTAATTGAAAAATTTCATAAAACTACATAAAATACAGACCTTCCAATTCGTTGTCGAAGAGAACAAATTTCCTGCCCTTTCCTTTCTTTTTCTCACCCTCCGCATCGCAAATCAAAACTACGGCGAACAGCAGTACAGTCAATAGTAGCTTCATCATTTTGTGACTGCTCAGAAAGATTTATAAAAACTAAATTCCTGGTTGAAGCACTCCCTTTTATAGTTGCCACAGGGCGAGACAATGCAGTGCTCCATTTAGCAAGGCTTTGTTTCTTGATAATAGGTGCTAAATGTTTTATTTGTTTTATCACTTTTCAAACGTTTGAGTCCAGTAAATGAAGATTCCCTAATAAGAGACAGCAGTTTTAAACTTAGAATTGAGAAATCGTTGCCTCTCAGATCCCCTACTAACAGAGAACAGTGCAATACTGGGGGGGGGGGGGGGGGGGGGCAACCTCATTACTTAGCCATACTCCACAGGACATGAGCACATACAGTGTGTCCGACGCAGTGGCTACCTACTACCTCTACATGAAATACGTGCACCCCTTCACCTTCGCTCTGTGCACCATTATACCCATGCCACCTGACGAGGTTCTAAGGAAGGGATCAGGGACTCTTTGTGAAGCCCTTCTCATGGTCCAGGCTGAGAGGTTAGTCCTTGTTTCTGTGTTTGGTGAGTTCCTTCAATATATTAAGGGGGGGGGGGGGGGTTCCTCTGAACTGTTTTGATGAAGGAGTTTATCTTGGTAGATCGATAAATCTCGCGATTAATTATCCTACTGTTACTGTTTCTTATGATAGAGTTAACGATTCCATTGTTTCAGGGAAAATATAATATTTCCTAACAAGCAGAGAGCAATCCTGAACAAGCTGACTGACGACGGGCATCTCCTGGAGACTGAGACTTATGTTGGGGGTCATGTTGAAGCGCTGGAGTCAGGTATGTTGGGGGTCATGTTAAAGCGCTGGAGTCAGGTATGTTGGGGTCATGTTGAAGCGCAGGAGTCAGGTATGTTGGAGGTCATGTTGAAGCGCTGGAGTCAGGTATGTTGGGGGGTCATGTTGAAGCGCTGGAGTCAGGTATGTTGGGGGTCATGTTGAAGCGCTGGAGTTAGGTATGTCGGGGGTCATGTTGAAGCGCTGGAGTCAGGTATGTCTGGGGTCATGTTGAAGCGCTGGAGTCAGGTATGTTGGGGGTCATGTTGAAGCGCTGGAGTCAGGTATGTTGGGGGTCATGTTGAAGCGCTGGAGTCAGGTATGTTGGGGGTCATGTTGAAGCGCTGGAGTCAGGTATGTTGGGGGTCATGTTGAAGCGCTGGAGTCAGGTATGTCGGGGGTCATGTTGAAGCACTGGAGTCAGGTATGTTGGGGGTCATATTGAAGTGCTGGAGTCAGGTATGTCGGGGGTCATGTTGAAGCGCTGGAGTCAGGTATGTTGGGGGTCATGATGAAGCACTGGAGTCAGGTATGTCGGGGGTCATTTTGAAGCGCTGGAGTCAGGTATGTTGGGGGTCATATTGAAGTGCTGGAGTCAGGTTTGTTTTCAGATCCCATGAGATGAGGAAACTGAATTTTGGGTTCAAGTTTAGTTTAAGTCAGTTAAATTATGTAATTGTAAGTAACCGTACGCGTAGGACGATAGTATGATGAATGATGATAAATGGTCCACCTCAGGAGTTTTCCGGGCGGATATTCCGATAAAGTTCAGAGTTACTCCGTCGGCGTTTCAAACCCTTATCGACGAAGTGGAGGAAACGATGAAATTTTCCATAGAGACGGAGGAGAAAGTACCCATGGAATATGTGACAAATTTTGATGAGGTTTATATCTGTCGATTTAAGATTCGTTTTTCGAAAGCAGTTTCCTACTCATTCTCCATAGGTGAGTTGTGACATGTTTTAATATATAACGATGAGTATTGAGTAACCTTGACAGGTAATAGGGGAGATAAAGAAGATATTATCGGACTTGAGAGATACTCCCAACAGACTGGAGAAGCCTATGATATATCATTTAGACGTGGGGGCTATGTACCCCAACATCATTCTCACCAACAGACTGCAGCCTTCCGCTCTGATTGATGAGGTCACGTGTGCTGCTTGTGATTTCAATAAACCCGGCGCAAGGTAAACAACTGTTTTAGTGAGAGGTTTTTGTCTTTTTAAGCACAGTCTCCACATTTTAGTAGCTGTTCGACTCTATCAGACCCACGTCAGTATCTCAAATACTTCGCATTTCTTCAGATGTCAGCGTACGATGGAGTGGGCGTGGCGCGGGGACTTCCAGCCAGCGTCCCGGGCAGAGTACCAGAGTATCAAACAGCAGCTGGAGAGCGAAAAGATCCCCTCCAAGGTCCCCGGGGAACCTGCTCGATCCTTCCACGAGCTGAGTCCAATGGATAGGGCTGAGGTGGAGAAACAGCGACTTGCTCAGTACTGCAAGAGAGCTTACGGCAAGGTTTATTTGAACTTTGACGTTTGAAACTTTAAACATTTTTGTGTAATAATGTTGACTTTTGATAAGTTTTAACCATATTTTTCCATTTTTAAATCCATATTCTTTCGTGATAACGTTTAGTCTAAATTCTGGAATGGGATTTAGTAATCTATGATCCGCTCCAACCTTTGGTATAATGATTACAACAATATAGGGGGGGGGGTGACATGTCTCCAATGTCTCCCGCACCTTATCTTTTCGAAAAAGACAAAGACATTGGAGACATTGGAGACATTGGAGACATTGGAGACACAGCTTTTGGAGACATTGGAGACATTGGGGACATTTGGGACATTGGGGACATTAGAGACACAGCTTTTGGAGACATTGGAGACATTGGAGACACAGCTTTTGGAGACTCCTCCTCCTCTTCCTCCTCCTCCTCCTCCTCCTCTTCCTCCTCCTCCTCCTCCTCCTCCTCCTCCTCCTCCTCAGTCCTCCTCAGTCGTTCTCCTCCTCCTCCTGAGTCCTCCTACTCCTCTTCATCCTCCTCCTCTTCCTCCTCAATCATCAGTCCTCCTCCTCAGTCCTCCTCCTCATCCTTCTCGTCAGTCTTCCTCCTTCTCCTCAGTGCTCCCCAAGTCCCCCTCCTCCTCAGTCCTCCCCCAGTCCCCCTCCTCCTATTCAGTCCTCATCCTCCTCCTCCTCAGTTCTCCTGAGTCCTCTTCCTGAGTCCTCCTCCTAGGTCCTCCTCCTTCTCCTCCTCCTCCTCCTCCCTCTCAGTCATCCTCCTCAGTCATCCTCCTCAGCCATCCTCCTCAGCCGTCCTCCTCAGCCATCCTCATCAGTACTCCTCAGTCCTCCTCCTCAGTCCTCAGTCCTCCTCCTCATCCTTCTCCTTAGTCCTCCTCCTCCTCAGTCCTCCCCAGTCCCCCTCCTCCTCCCATTCACTCCTCCTCCTCCTCAGTTATCCTGAGTCTTCCTCCTGAGTCCTCCTCCTCCTCCTGAGTCCTCCTCCTGAGTCCTCCTCCTGGGTCCTCCTCCTCCTAGGTCCTCCTCCTTCTCCTCCTCAGTCCTTCTCCTCCTCCTCCTCAGTCCTCCTCCTCCTCCCTCTCAGTCATCCTCCTCAGCCATCCTCCTCAGTCCTCCTCCTCCTCCTCAGTCCTCATCCTCATCGTCCTCTTCAGTCCTCCTCCTCCCGGGTCCTCTTCCTCCTCTTCATCCTCCTCCTCTTCCTCCTCAGTCCTCAGTCCTCAGTCCTCCTCCTCATCCTTCGAGTCAGTCCTCCTCCTCCTCAGTCCTCCCCAGTCCCCCTCCTCCTATTCAGTCCTCCTCCTCCTCCTCAGGTCTCCTCAGTCCTCCTCCTTCTCATTCCTCCTAAGTCCTCCTCCTGAGTCCTCCTCCTCTTCCTCCTGAGTCCTCCTCCTGGTTCATCCTCCTCCTAGTTCCTCCACCTTCTCCTTATCCTCCTCAGTCCTTCTCCTCCTCCTCCTCCTCCTCCTCAGTCAACCTCTTCAGTACTCCTGAGTCCTCCTCCTTCTCAGTCCTTTTCCTGAGTTCTCCTCCTCCTCCTCCTGAGTCCTCCTTCTGGGTCCTCCTCCTAGGTCCTCCTCCTTCTCCTCCTCAGTCCTACTCCTCCTCCTCAGTCCTCTTCCTCCTCAGTCCTCTTCCTCCTCCTCCTCCTCCTCCTCCCTCTCAGTCATCCTCCTCAGCCATCCTCCTCAGTCCTCATCCCTCCTCCTCCTGGGTCTTCCTTCTCGTCATCCTCCTCAGTCCTCAGTCCTCCTCCTCATCCTTCTTGTCAGTCTTCTTCATCCTCAGTCCTCCCCCAGTCCCCCTCCTCCTCCTCCTATTCAGTCCTCCTCCTCCTCAGTTTTCCTCAGTCCTCTTCCTTTTCAGTCCTCCTGAGTCCTCCTCCTCCTCTTCCTCCTGAGTCCTCCTCCTGGGTCCTCATCCTCCTAGGTCCTCCTCCTTCTCCTTCTCCTCAGTCATTGTTCTCCTCCTCCTCCCTCTCAGTCATCCTCCTCAGTCATCCTCCTCAGCCATCCTCCTTAGTACTCCTCAGTCCTTTTCCTTCTCTGTCCTCCTGAGTCCTCTTCCTGGGTCCTCCTCCTCCTCCTCCTGAGTCCTCCTCCTGGGTCCTCCTCCTCCTGGGTCCTCCTCCTCCTAGGTCCTCCTCCTCAGTCATCCTCCTCAGCCATCCTCCTCAGCCATCCTCCACAGCCATCCTCCTCAGCCATCGTCCTCAGCCATCCTCCTCAGTACACCTCAGTCCTCCTCCTTGTCAGTCCTCTTCCTGAGTCCTCATCCTCCTCCTTCTCCTCCTGAGTCCTCCTCCTGGGTCATCCTCCTCCTAGATCCTCCTCCTTCTCCAATCATACATCTACGTCTCCAGTGTCTCCAATGTCTCCAATGTCTCCAAAAGCTTTGTCTCCAATGTCTCCAATGTCCCCAATGTCTCCAATGTCTCCAATGTCTCCAAAAGCTGTGTCTCCAATGTCTCCAATGTCTCCAGGACATGTCTCTGCACCCTATCTTTTCAAAAAAGACAAAAGACATTGGAGACATTGGAGACATGTCACCCCCCCCCCCCCAATATAGAGCGTGTCAATTACACGACTGTACTCCAGGTGAAAGTAACTAGAACAGAAAACCGTCACAGCACCATCTGCCAGCGTGAACATCCCTTCTATATCAACACTGTGAAGTCATTCAGAGACCGGCGGTACGAGTACAAAGCTCTTAACAAACAGGTAAAACAAGGGAATTTATCCCATTTTATTCTCTATTTTGGGAAATTAATGTACGGGTAACATGTTAGGGCTGTGATACCGGAATTCTCTATTTTACACAACTCGTAGTATCTCACCAAGATAATGAGCCGTGAATTTGCAGGCTGCCAAGAAGCACGGGGAGGCAGTGAAGAAGGGAGACCCAGCAGAGATTAAGAGGATGGCAGGGCAGGTGGTGCTGTACGATTCTCTGCAGCTTGCTCACAAGTGCATCCTCAACTCTTTCTACGGCTATGTTATGAGGAAGGGAGCTCGGTGGTATAGTATGGAGATGGCTGGTATCGTTTGTTACACAGGTTTAGATAAGGGGTGGAGAGAAAACTTAGATATTTGAAGTGGTTCAGCTTTTCAGCTTTAACTATGAATAAAAAGTTTTGAATCAAAAATGTTCCATATCTGGTGTCCAGCTGATTACATAACTCAATTAAAAATAAAAGTCTCTGTCTCACAGGAGCAAACATAATCAAGAAAGCACGAGAGATAGTAGAGCAGATAGGAAGACCCCTGGAACTTGATACTGATGGTATTTGGTGCTGTCTTCCTGGATCATTCCCCGAGAACTATGAGTTCAAAACTAACCACCCAGGTTTATATTGTGTTTATATTGTGTTTATATTGTGTTTATATATTTTTTATATTGTGTTTATATTGTGTTTATATTGTGTTTATATTGTTTTTATATTGTGTTTATATTGTGTTTATATTGTGTTTTATTGTGTTGTGGTTGGATTTTGTTGTATTTGAAATCTTGCCCGTCCTTACTCCAGTTATTCCGCCATATTATGAGTCTCCTGTTTTGTATAGGCGTGAACAACATCTTACTTTATTCAGCTATTCCCATCTTAACAAGCAAATCATGGTATATTTTTAAAACAAGAACAAAAAATAAAATAGCTTTTCCATTTTATTCTGCAACGAATTACACTGATTACTCTAGATCCCAGAAAACAGAAAGTAACGATCTCATACCCTGGTGCCATGTTGAATGTCATGGTATTCAGACACTTCACTAACGATCAGTACCACGATCTGGAGGATCCTAAGACTCTTTCTTACTCCGTCAAATCTGAAAACAGTATCTTCTTTGAGGTATGTTCAAGGTCCCTTTCTTTAAATTGGTTAAATCTAGTTTCGATTCCGCTGCGCATTGACTCAGTTAAAAATTCATTTCTAAATTTATATTTAATACTTACTAATGTCTCTCTTCAGGTGGACGGACCATATCTGGCAATGATACTTCCTGCAGCCAAGGAGGAGGGTAAGAAGCTGAAGAAGAGATACGCTGTCTTTAACTTTGATGGAAGCTTGGCTGAACTGAAAGGATTTGAGGTTCGTTAATCACTACCCCTAATAAGTCTGCACGTGTGGAAGTCATAAGTGAAATGTTAATGTTGTCACTCGGAGACCAAGGGCAGCTGTCTGAAGAATGAGCTAGAGGTCAGGGTTGAGACTTGAAATATCCTATTTCCTAAGTTGTTGATATTGCAGTTAAAACGGCGAGGAGAGTTACAGCTGATAAAGAACTTCCAATCCTCTGTGTTCAGCGCGTTCCTGGAGGGCAACAATATAGAAGAAGTTTATGCTGCCGTAGCTAAGGTTTGAAAAACTAATACGAATGCCTTTCTTTGTCGGGTTACTCTTTAGTTTCACTATAGTTTCATTTTAATTTAATTTTAGTTTCACTTTACTTTCACCTTAGTTTCACTTTAATTTAGCTTTAATTTCACTTTAGTTTCACTTTAATTTCACCCTAATTTAGCTTTAATTTCACTTTAGTTTCACTATAGTTTAGCTTGCTAATTCAGGTGGCGGACTATTGGTTGGACATATTGTTCTCCAAAGCAGAGAACATGCCAGACGATGAACTGTTTGACTTGATCAGTTCTCAGAGGAGCATGTCTAAAAAACTAGAAGAGTACGGAACACAGAAGAGTACATCGATTAGGTCAGTTTAGATTCTTACAACTTTACTAGATATAAAATATAGCAAAACCCTGGGTATTGGGAACGAGGTTCAAGGGAAGGAGTCTACTGTGTTTGGTAACAACGTTTTATAGTCCAATTCGAAGTCCAGTTCAGAAATTGGGCCAGTTGCCAGGCTCGATCGTTATAATAATTATGATGCAGACCTTGGCCTTAGTTATAAATACTGTTTTTTTGCGTTTGATGCTAATAAACAGTTCATGATAGTCAAAATAATCTATAAATTTTATATTACGAAATGAAAACTCCCTCTAGCTTACTAGGCTCCATTTTTCAGCACTGCGAAACGTATCGCTGAGTTTCTCGGAGATCAAATGACCAAAGACAAAGGCCTAAATTGCAAGTTTATCATAGCCCGGAAGCCGGAAGGAACTCCCGTTACGGAGCGAGCGATCCCGGTAGCAATATTCCAAGCAGAACCAGCTGTAAGAAGATATTATCTACGACGCTGGCTGAAGACCCCAGGAGCTACTGATTTCGATATCAGGGATATTTTGGATTGGGATTATTACAAGGAGCGGTTTGGCAGTGCTATCATGAAGATTATAACTATTCCAGCTGCTCTTCAAGGTATATTGTTCTTCATTTTCTTTTTGTGGATCCCTTTTTATACATTAATTATAGATTTAGAACGCATTATGAGAATTTTAGTATTTATTAACAATAAAACACCAGTGTCAGATAAAAATTGATGAATGGTAATTTAACATAAAATATCGTTATTGAATTAGATTGTGATTGTCCCTATTTTATTCTTAGAGCCCTAGTCGTGGCACATATCTTCGTCTCCATAGTTCAGGCCCACAAGTTTGCCTGGTTTTTCCCAAAATACCGCTGTAAACTTGATCTTCAGCTGAGTCCCAGCTACCATCTTGATGGGCTTGGTGGTGGAGATGGTACACTTGTACTTGGAGCAGCTTGCTTGGTAACGTCCTCTTCCAACAATCAGCCTCTTGACCCTGCTGGAGAACTCTATCTCAACTGGGGGCATGTCGTTTGAGCATTCCTTCACCTCCGTAGCGAACACTCCGGAGAGAGATTTTGAGAGAGCGACACCATTCTTTACTTTGGAGATGCTGATAGCTCCTGCGCGGCGGCTTGAGCACTCTTCTTTAACAATGTCACATGTGGTGCATCCTCCAGTTGCCCAGCATTTCTTCAGCTTCATCCACTTGATGTAGACATTGGCTCCTTCTTTGTGGTTGGCAGTGAACCCGGTAACGAAGAAGGTACCAGCTTTCTGGGTTGCAGACCAGTCCTGTCCTAAAACTACCACCCTGGTTCCACCGTTACTCCATCTCTCAGGTAACCCAGCCCAGAAATCAGCCACTACTGGCTTGTTGAACTCTGCATCAATCCGCCATTTGGAAGTATCATGCTTGATGGGGATTGAGAGGTTTCCCTTCCAGCCATTCCTCCAGGTCTCCACTATCTCGTACATGGCACACCCGTCAAATAGATCTGGTCCTTCAGTGGTGATGGCAGGAGATGTAGGCCCTGGTTCCTGAGTTGGGTCCAGTGAGAGATCCACCCTCATCTGTTCAGGTTCTACGTCACATAGTTCCTGTCCTATGAAGAGAACTCCGACCACTTTAGTGTTGGACGGGTATTTCAGATCAATTATGATCAGCTCGTTTATCCCCACTCCCTGTTCACTTGACACGATACACTCATTGCCGGTACAGCTTGCTGAGAAGTTCTCACCTACCTCGACCTGCTCCACGTCATTGGAGAACATCACTGTAACATCCGGCATGCTAGAGTAACATTCTGTTGACATGATCCGAACCTGCCCCCGACTCACTTCCTCCTCCTCGCTCTCAGCTCCCTGGAATCCACCGGTGCATTCCTCAGGTTCCACCTCCAGAGGGCTGCAGGTCTGACACCCACTACCATCAGCCCAACACAGGGTTATCTGCAGGGTCTTAAAGTTCACTTCAGGTCCGTGTTCAGGGTAGTTGACTGTGAAACCTGTCTTGAACACGTCTCCTGCCTTCTGTTTAGCTGACCAGTCGTTTCCTACAACTCGGACCGACAGCTTGTCATTGCTCCAGAACTTTTGCCCCGCCCAGAAGTCCCCAGCTTGGATTTTGTTGTCGAATGAGGCGTCTATCTTCCATCGCTTGGTGTCTTTTGGAATGGGAATATTGAGGTTTCCCTTCCATCCGTTGTTCCATCGTTCCACTATCAGATACTCCGCACAGGGGACCTCCAAAGAGAGGACAGCAGGAACCAGAAGAGAGATCACTAGAAGGAACATCTTGTACTCCTGTCAATCGATATGATGAAGTTAGAATATTAGCTGATTCAAACCAGTTTTACTGGGAATCTATAGTCAATTTAACTGAGGGTCATACCTTCATTGACGCATCCATTACATGAGGCCGGCCTAATATAATTTAAATGATATAATGCTAATTTAATGACTGCAAAAACAAGCTACAAACGAATGATAAAATTATTTTGTCGGCAACATTATTAGTCTTAGAAAACATGCGGCCATACGAGATGCAATCAAAGAAAAAAATGTATTAACCGAAAAATGGGAACGTTGAACGATCAATAAGCAGGAGGTGACCGGGATTCCCGGTTCCGGGAATACCGGTACCGGGATTGGCAATTTTGAGCTATCTCGGTCCCGGTCCCGGTCAAATGCTGATTTATTTATTTATGATCCCGGTCCCGGTCCCGGTCCCGGTTAATTCGGGATTCTTGGTCCCGGTCCCAGTCCCGGTCCCGGTCAATCACTCAAATTAGCCGGGATTTGACCGGGATCTTTTACATAATTTCATTCACTGTGATTTCAAGTTTTTCCTTTCATTCATTGTGAATTTCATCTTTAAACATCCTCTGAGCCAAATACAACAATGTTTAAAATTGCTAAACAAGTTTGAGTAATAAATTATGATCATGAATTAACCAGTAATCGACCGGAATTCCCGGTACCGGGAATCCCGGTACCGGGATTGGCAATTTTGAGCTATCCCGGTCCCGGTCCCGGTAAATTGATAATCTCAATTTTGAGCTATCCCGGTCCCGGTCCCGGTCAAGTCACATTTTGTATCCCGGTCCCGGTCCCGGTCCCGGTCAGGCCTGAAATCATGTCCCGGTCACCTCCTGTCAATAAGAGATAAATATTTAAATTGCAATTTCTTTGTGTCTCATTGGAGTTTTTCGTGAGGGAAACCTGGCGATCGCTATTATCATTAACACCGCCCGATATAATATCAGTGTTCAACAGTTGATCTAAATTACGCCGGAGTTGTGTAACACCTCCTGAATGATATAAAGAAGAAAAAACAATTCCGGATAATGTAACTCAAATGGAGTTGTCGACAGAATGTCAGTTTTACGGTAACCTAGACTGTTAGCAATGAGACGTGAGATGGTTGGTGAATACACCTGGTAAAGAAAGGGTCATGAGTTAGATACCCTTCAATCTTAATATCTGAGAGGTTATTTATTTATTTCTTTGCACAGCTGGTCGAGCTAAGAGGACATTGATTGGTTTATAATGCAGCTGAGTTAGGCGAGGGTTTACAGATCTGACATAATGAGGGATGTGGCGACTGTCAGCTTCATTATATTTCTATTATGAGATGGGGCGAGTGATGGTAGAGAAACTTACTGTCTAGTGCTCATTCCCTTATGACCCAGGGCAGGGCAGGCCGCAGGCTCCAGCTCATTGCACCAGAGCAGCTCCATATTCCGAGCTAATCAATGAACCCCTCGTACAACGTCAGTTTTACAGACAAAAGACACAGTGACCGGTGTACTAGCACAATTGGGAAGATATTAACCCTTTAACCTTAAATCTAATCTAAGTTCGCAGACTTATCCCGAAAGGAACCGTCTCTATGAGGTAAAACTAAATGCCCCTTCTCTCCCAGGAGTAAGGAACCCAGTACCGAGGGTCCAGCACCCAGATTGGCTTTATAAGATGATGGCGGAGAAGAACGACGTGTTCCAACAGAAAAAGATCACAGATATGTTCGGCAAGGTGAGAAACCTCCTGCTGCCATGTGAAACAGTCACGTGATACTTTCGTGTCGCGTGTTTTATACTTTTCTGTGAATTAAGTAGTTTTTCGTCACTCCCCAAGATCTTATTAAGCCAGCGAGAAGGCTCACGCCTCACTGTTAGCTTATTGTCATAGATACAGACCTTGCTTACACGTACTTGTTTACTGTTAATTTTGTCGTCAGCATCGCGGCTGCAGTGGAGTGACAGAAATATCGTGCTTACTCATAAATAATGCCAATATAATTATTATGTCGCCAAATGTTTAGGATGGATGTTACAGAACGTGTTCTGTGAACTGGCAGTAATTCTTGGTGCCACTTTTAAAGCAGCTGCGATAATTTTTTGTAGTGTCGTGAGAATTAACAAAATTAATCCTAATGAACTAACACAATCCATTCTGAACCGCTCTTAGACTAACTCTAACAATAAAAATTGAAGATTTTTGTAGAATTTAATTCACAGCGCATTGTGAATTATAATACATCTGGTAGTTGGGTTTTTTACAAAAGAGGGTGGGATTGATTATTTATAACTTAAGTGTTAGTTCGGTCGTTTCGACATGAAAATTCAGAGTTATGTCGAAGTCCCAGGTATGAGTTAATTTCGAACATAGTGAAACTGAAAGTGTGAAAATCAAGCTAGTATAAACTTAATTAGCTAGTAAGTAAACTTAATTAGCTAGTAAGTAAACTAAATTACCTAGTAAAGAAAAAAATTACCGCATTTACTTTTCACGGTTAATATTAAATATTGCAGGATCCTTTATGTCCCACTCACTCATTCCAGGCTGTAAAGAAGCCGCTGGGGACGAACACCAACTCAAACATCCCTGACATAGAAACAATGGGAACAGTTCCTCGAGCAGCAGCTAAACCTCCCACTGTTAGTAAGCAGACCAAGAGAGGGCGGCCCCAGGAACAGATACCTAACCATTGGAAAGATGATTTGGGTTTGTGAGCCTTTTAAAATCTGTTGGTTTCTGGTCTTGAACTAAACTAACTGTATGAGATGTTGGGACTTGAGAGGACTTTACCGTTGACTGTGTCCCTTTTCTACCATCACATTCACTATGTGTATTCTCCTAATCAGCCACTTATATTTCGGCATATCAAAAATATTAGCAATATTTTGATGCAACATCTACATTTTTTTTGAATATACGATAAACATGATTTGTTTTCTCCAATTGATTCTTTCTCGTCGCCCTTATAGTCCCGGTGTTGTGAGTAAATAGTTATTTTGAACAAGGGCAGTAATTAGAATCACCATACTCAATCTTCCTCAGGAGAAGCACCTATATTCAAGGAAGGAGCAGCTCAGTTCAAGTCATGGTTATCATTTCACAAGGAGAAGTGGAAGCTACAGAAGAAGATACGACAACACAACGCCTCAAACAAGGTTTTTATTGTTGAATACTTTTTAAAGTTGTCTCTTGGTTCAACTGGTTTATACTACATTGTTAATGCTTTAAAGATGAAATGACGCATTTCCATGGTGACGTTCAATTGTTCTGTTATATTATGTCAATTGTTCTGTTATAATATATCAATTATGTTCAACTTCCACTCTCCAGATCTCAGCTCGAGGTACTTCCGAACCTTCCAGAACGTCAGCTCACCGTACCATGGACACGTTTCTCCGTCAGGGGCAGAAGAACTTATTGAAAAGCGTGTGGGAGGTGATCCAGATCCTGCCTCTAGATACCCCTGGTCTTTTCAGACTCTGGGTATCAATCGATGGGAATATACAGCAGCTAAAGGTAAAGGGGTTCAGGCTTTCACTGATATCATGAACGTTAGGTAACCCTGTGCTAATTGTATTTGACAGAATGTTAAGGTTGTACTTCGGTAACTTAGGAACGAGGGCTGAGGCGCTGCACATAACTGCAGTTCTCTTTTGTGAATGATATGATTTCAGTGTCCCTGGCCTCGATATTCAATGTTATTGCCAATTATAATTTAAATCGGTTATAGTTTTGTTAGCCACTCATTCAACAACTGTTTCAGGTAACAGTGCCGCGCATATTCTACGTGAACTGTTACATATCATAGCATACAATTTCTTATTAGAGCAGTAGGGACCTGTTATGTGTACATTTAGCGATATTTAACTGTTTATCATAAACATACAGGGTGGGCCAAAAGTCAGTACCCATACGTTGGCCTTTATAGCTCAGTCACTGAGTGCCCAATTTAAATACTTCTTTCTGGTATGACTTAGTACCACCACTGGTTCGAGGAATTTGTCAACTCGAAAAATATTCGCGTTCATTTTTTTCAAATGGAGGTTCATTTTCACATTTATTTGATAGTTTGGATAGTCGGATCAAGCTAAATGTTATTGAATTGTGTTTGGCCATTCGAATTACGTTTGTCCTGAAAGAATTAGAACTGTAGCTTCTCAGATGACCGAGATATGAAGCATAACGAGTTTATTCATTACGTGTGCTTAGGTGATTGGTTTACCTAATCACGTGATAAGGTGCCCCCGTTAACTACCCCGTTAAACATTATGGGAATTGTTAAGGGTGCCCAATTAAGGTGTCGTGTCACGGTGTCACATAATCACCCAGTCAATATTGTTAACGAGATACAGAAAATGCTTGATAACTTCGTCATTTCTAATCCGTTTTGCCCCATGTTTTCAGATCATATATGCAACATTTAATAATCTACCGTCTCTGAAAAAAATTAGGCGTTCAGTATGTTCAGAGAAAACAATATAGGTGTTTTAATATTGAATGGGCGTGGTCTAAAATATTCGAATTTTCAAATTTTGACGACGGAATCCTCGAACCAGTAAGTACAGTATGCCATCTGCAAAGCAACAGCTCTCAAATATAAAACACGGCGGAGCTATTAAGGCCAACGTATGGGTACTGACTTTTGGCCCACCCTGTATGATAAAGAATGTAAGCTCAATAAAATGTAATTCATATATGCTCTACTAAAATTTTGGTCTACTTCAAAATTAGTCGCCGAAAAATGTAGTCAAAAGTTTGACTAAATTTATGGTAGACTAAATTTGTCGTTCTTCAGGTAACAGTGCCGCGAATATTCTACGTAAACTGCCGGACCCCCAAAGACCAAGAGGTCGGGGAACTGTGGAGGAGAACAAGTAGAACCCTACCTCGGTCTGTTCCTGTTCTCAATTTGTACGAGTACACTGTGCCTGAGGATATATTTCAGCAGCACGCAGGTTACTATCTCATTATTTTATCCTGAAATAGCTCTATTCTCATTTCTAATTTTACCGTTAGAATACGATCTCATACAAATTTTCCATTGCTAGTTTTCTCCCCTACAATATTTCATGCCTCATTCGCTCTATAACTCTATGACCCGCAATTTTGGTTAGAAACTAAGGAAGGCTAGTACAGCGGTTCAGAATTCTACCACAACACTTAATGCCCTCCCCAGGTGAGATATCAACTGAGCTAGCTGGCCCGGATGTGGAGGGAGTGTACGAGACTAATGTCCCGGCTCTATTCAGAGTTCTTGTGGAACTTGGCTGTGCTTGTTCTGTCACCTCCGAACATGCACGCTTCAGGTTGGTGCTCAAATCTTCAATTATGATACAATTTCTGACAAACTGTCGAATTGTACGCTGACATAAATCTTTGAAAATTTAACTCTAAAGATTCTACCGTCTGATTTCCTCTCCGTATTTAAATCTTTCAACTAATCTACTAATTTCCCCTCTCTCTACAGGTCTCTAACAAACGACACCTCGGACACGTTTCAGTTAACCAACCTGCAGTTCAAATCAGAAGCTGAAATCTCGTACATGAGCAACGTTCAGTACCTCTACATCTACGAGATAAGCAATGCTGGCAGGAACCTTGTTGGCGTCTTCTCTAAAGCCGAACATAAGACTACAGTATTTGTTTCGGATTCCGCTAAGACTAATAGTGTCGGAAATCTTGGTTAGTATTCGTTGCTTATGTGCTTTTTCCTTGTTAACTTTTCTTTTATAGGTTTTCATGCTCAACTTTCTAGTTTTGTACCTGGGAATGACAAACAAGTGCTTTATTCTATAAAAGTATAAAGAGTATAAGGCAACTTTCTGATTCAGACTCGCGAAACTGAAGATCATCATTTATTTCCAGGGAATCATTATAAGTCGATATACGGCGACCAGGCAGAAGGGATATCTGATACGTATCTCCCTCCAAATGATATGGGATTCGAGGTTAGCTCATGATTTAATGTATGGTTATGAAGAAAAGAGAAGCATTTTTTTCATGTCATAACTTGATGAATACATTTTATATTTGTCATATTATATTCAGAGTTCAGACTGCTCTCATCTTATTGCAAATTTACGTAAATCAAGAATCTTAAAATTTTCAATCTACAAGTACATCAGCAACGTGCATACGATATTTATAAATAGATCCCAGTCTCGTGTCAGAATCATTATTTTAATATGAAGCAAAATTACTGCAAATTCTTAGAAATTACTGCAAATTCTTAGAAATTTGACACTTTTATCTCCAAATAATGCCACTATAAAGGTAAGTCCGCTATTCTTTATCTAAGAATTGAAATAGCATTATATCTGTATTAAATATTTGATTAATGGGAATAATAATAAAACTGTTTGTCTGGTTGAAGTCAAGGCTCCACGTAATCCTGGAAGACGCTGACGTATTCGGCTGGATCAAAGGCATTTGGTTCGTAGTGTGTATCTATCGGAGCCTCAGTTTCTTTAGCATCACAAACGTTCATGTAACTTGTCCATCGTACCCTAAAGTTCCTACTTGGTTCACTGTCTGGATTGTAGATAAGGAAATGGAAGCTGTCCCATGTAAGCTGATCCACTGGCCGGGAGATAACGTAACCGTTATCCTCCTCGTCGTCAGCGAAGAAGAGTTCAAGGATTTGGAACTGTCGGGGCATGTTGACTGCCCATTTGCACTCCCTCATGTTTACCTTGACGTATCGGAAGTAGTAAAGCTCGTCTGCGCTCAGGTTGAATGGGTTCCAAACGGAGTCAGAATCCGGACGTCCTTCAACAGTTCCCACACAAAACTTGTGACAGCCTCGGTATGTGATCCTTGGAGGATCGCTTTCATAATGGTCTTTCTTGTTAAGCTGGATTACCATAGGATCTTTGGGCAGGAACGGTTCCTCATAGTTCCTTTCTTCGTCATCACTTTGTCTTGTACTTCGAGCGTCAGCAGCCAACACAATTAGCGCCGTTAACGCTAAAATTGGCTTCATCCTGAGAGAATACTGGTTTTAAGTAAAAGAAGAATTTCCGGTGTTCTGAAACGAGGTTTAGCAACCGCCCAAGTTTGCGGCTATAAATATAATGAGGTTCATCTTAGTCATTATCTAGAAGAAAGACACGACAATTCATTGAAATGAAAGTTTGAGACAAAACACGTAGCTAGAAGATTCTTAAACACGAATCAGAACCATTATCTACTTTTAGTCGCAGAGAAGATATATAAAGGCAGTTGGATAAAAAACAATCTCTGAATCTGCCGCTTTATCAATCGCTCTATGATTAATATATCCATCACATTGGCATGAGCCCAAGTCGTCGAGAAAGAATTTAAAATACTTTATCGTGCAGTATCGTCGATTTCCGTGACGACCAGTTGAATATTATGAATGGGCCTGGCCAGATCGATCATATGAGAGTCAACTTTCCGCCTTAATCTAAATTTTGTAACCGAGTGTGCATGATATGATAAAGCTATATTTATAAAATGTTTAACAACTCTCACAACAAATGCATATTAAATTAAGAAAAGCACGTACTGTAACATTTCTCGTGAGATTGTTCCTCTCTCTGGTTGAGATGGAGTGCATTAAACAGTGTGGGATGGTGTTATAATAGGAGTAGGACAGTACGATACACAAAATCAGGCATTGGATCAAATCGTACCAGTGTATCAAGAAGTTACATACCCTGATTAGCTGTGACTCCAATCCTACCAACACATCCCTACGAGTATGACCCCCCGATCATATTGATTGTGTGCCACACAAACACCTATAATAGCTGGGTGTAAACTGTAAAGCACCGTTTAGGCAACTCTACCATTATAACGCCGGATTTGTCTACTTTGTCTACTTTGTAGTACTTGTTCCGTTTCAGGTGAGAGTTGAGGCGAACATGAAAGGTACAGCTCGGGCAATACAGCGGTATCTGGCGGACTACAAGGACAGACACAAATCAGTTGTTGTGGTTCTCCAGTCATTCGATCAGGCGAGCATGCAGGTAGGAAACTTACAGATTTGTAAACACTAAACCATAAAACAACAAAGTATTTATTGCTCACATTTTTATCAGACATTTCAGTTTTCATTTTTTCAAAACACCACTGAAACGTATTCTGATAATTGAAAAGTGCATTTAAATCTGTTTCAGGTTCCAGCGATAAACACGTTTCCGGTTATTAAAGTACCGTTTGATTCGAGCGATTCCATTGCGATGTTAGACTGGCAAAGACATTCTGCAAGAAAAATGCTTTCAAATTATTTCAGGTAGATACTTAAATGCGTTTTTGGCGTATGCATGACGTTAGTTAGTTATTTTAATGGTTTTATGTCCTTTAACTGAATGAGACGTATTGTTGATGTATATCAGCAACTCTGCAATTAACACTGATCAACTGATTATCGTCTATTTCCAGTTGTCTAAAGTGGTTAGAACACAACCTAACTTACGCGCGGTATGTCCACGTGCCCATTGGCAATGTGCCAGAAGATCTGTCTATGTTGGCAGCTGATATATTCTACGCGCGCCACCTCCTCAAGCAGAACCACGTGCTGTGGGCGAGTAACGCACCTGCGCCGGATCTGGGCGGTAAGGAGGAGGACGACCACAGGCTGACCAGCTCTGATCAAGATCACGTGCTTTCCTTGAACTTCCCTGCAGCTTACAACACCGTTTGTGTAGAGGTTAGTCGGCTTAGAGATAAGATGGTGTACATTCAAGGGGGGGGGGGGGCGGATAGGAGTTATCATGGCTTTATAACTGTAGATAAGTTGTGGATACTATCAAGTATAATATGGCCAGTGAACTGTTACCTGACAAAACAGTTCTTAGTGTTACAGAATTGCGAACTATATCCTCAAGAAGTTTGTCGAGCTCGTGGCTATAATATCTTGTTCTCGTAGAATAAGCAAGAAACGGTTACTACTCTAAAGCTAATATTGGCAAGTATATTTACATTTGTTTAACTGCATCAGAAATTGCGCTCACAACTTCACAATTGTGATAATCTCTCTTTGACAGATCAATCTAGAAGGGTTAGCAGTAAACACCATTCTACACAGCCACCACGTCAATGATTTGGAGGGAGTCAGTACTGTTTCTCTAGATACCGTCAATAAACAGGTAGTTATTTATCCAATATCCATACTTTGTTATCCAATCACTGGTGGTTAATCAAACTTTCGAATTTAAGTTATAATATTATGTTTTATCGAATATCAATCGGGTTTATTAAATTTGAATTGGAACTGAAAGTGTGATAACGGTTTGAAAATGCCAGGTGGGTATCACCGGCGGAGAGGGCAGCTCGACAATCACCGCCTACGACGAGGCAGCACAAGTCAGCTCTGCTTTCAAAGTCCTCAAATCTATGGTTATCAGCTGGCTTCACCAGGTTTACATCCCCTCCCCTCGTTTAGCAGCTACTCTACACAAACTGTCCAAACTATTTCTATTAAATCCTTATAAAATGGAACCTCGATTTACCGTACCTCGATTTATTGTAAACCTCGATTCATTTGGTACTGAATATAGAATGCTCAATATCGACAAGTTAGAATGTAGCCTGTAGGTTCAGGGCCCCTCCTCTCGGTACCCCACACAAACACGTACCCCAGGTATCGAGTGGAAATAACCAGTACGCTGATATTCAACTGATACACACAAACACGTACCCCAGGTATCGAGTGGAAATAACAAGTACAACAGTACGCTGATACCCAACTGATACACACAAACACGTACCCCAGGTATCGAGTGTAAATAACCAGTACGCTGATACCCAACTGATACACACAAACACGTACCCCAGGTATCGAGTGGAAATAACCAGTACGCTGATACCCAACTGATACATTTCTACCGCTGGTTGACTAACTCCAGCTCCCTTCTTCACGACCCCGCCCTAGCTAGGGTGGTTAACAGCAGCATCAAGAAACTCTTCCTGCAGTTAATTATGGAGGTTTGTTGTTTTGTAAAATTTGGGAGATCAAATGAGGCTCTCTTATTCCGCTAGAATAACAAAATTCTGAAGCATTGTTAATTGTTGTGACCTAGAGTATAAGCAATTTACCGTATCGCAAATACCGTTATGTATGTATATTGTATATTTGTATGTATAATGTACAATGTATAATGTATATTGTATATTGTATATGTTTATTTGTATCTCCAGGTCAAGAAACTGGGCTCCTCTATCGTGTACTGTGACATGAACAGGATCATTGTTGCCACCAAGAAACGGACAATAGAAGATGCCCACAACTACACTAACTACATCATCAACAGTATCACTTCCCAGGAACTCTTTGGCTGCATCGGACTCCAGGTTCGTGTCTTCAAGTTTTAATATCCTTTTTTTTCAATAAATTAGCTTGGTCCTCTATAGCGAGCGGTAATAATTTTTTCTTTTAACGATTCCTTTAAATTGTTGATTTAATTCTTATTCCGTTTTATCAGATCACAAAGAGTTGGGAGAATCTGCTGTGGCTGGATAGTGTGAACAACGGTGGAGCATTACGGAAGTCCGGGGACTTAGCTCCCACTATTCAGATGAACTGGAACCTCAAGAAGTTCTTACCGGAGGATGGTAGTTTACAGAAATTCTTCCAGCTCATTATCGCTGGATATATCCAAGTAAGTACTTAACTCTTCCTTAAAAAGTTGCGATTGGGTTATCAAAAATTTACCGATTGTTCATGGTTTGGGTCATCGATTAATACTAAAAAGGTGCCATGTGATGACTTAAAACGCACCCCGAAACTATATAAGTATAGGGGGGGTGTCACGTCCGTCCATGTCCGCTTGTCTCATAGAATCCAAAAAGGACAGGACATAGGCGGACATAGGCGGACATAGGCGGACATAGGCGGACATAGGCGGACATAGACGGACATAGACGGACATAGGCGGACATTTTTTTTTTTTTTTTTTTTTTTTTTTTTTTTTTGAGAGGCTGGGCCTGGTTGGCCCACGAGAGGATAGCATATGAATGCTTTGCCTACCTCTGGGGTATGGCAGTCCTGTGGGAGGATGCCAGTGGAATCAAAATGTGTAATTAAGGATGATGGTAAGTGTTGTGGGGTGTGTCATAGATAAACGCTTAAGTGGTGGTTGAGTGTGGAAGAGAGAGGCGAAATAAGACGGCGTTAAAGTAGTCGCTATGTTACACCTGTCTGGTCCAACTCCTCTGGCACCACTAAGCGTTTAGGCGGACATTAATGGACACCTAAATTGCTAAATAAAATGTTCAATTTTTGCTGTTATAGGGGGATCATGTTTTTTGTCCGTTCGGTACCCTATATTTTCAAAACGGACAAAAAATAGAGCGGACAAAAACGGACAAAAATGGACAAAAACGGGAAAAAATGGAAATAACATTTAGATGCTTCCTCCTCCTACTCTTCCTCCTCCTCCCCCTGGGTCTTCCTGATCTTCCTCAGTCCTCTTCCTCCTCCCCTCCTCAGTCCTCCTCCTACTCCTCCTCCTCGTCCTCAGTCCTCCTCATCAGTCCTCAACAGTCCTCCTCCTCCCCAGTCCTCCTCCTGGGTCCTCCTCCTCTTCATCCTCCTCCTCTTCCTCCTCAGTCCTCAGTCCTCCTCAGTCCTCCTCCTCATCCTCAGTCCTCCCCCAGTCCCCCTCCTCCTCCTATTCAGTCCTCCTCCTCCTCCTTCTCAGTCCTCCTCAGTCCTCCTCCTCCTCCTCCTCCTCTTCCCTCTCAGTCATTCTCCTCAGCCATCCTCCTCAGTCCTCCTCCTCCTGGGTCCTCCTCCTCCTCTTCATCCTCCTCCTCTTCCTCCTCGTCCTCAGTCATCCTCATCAGTCCTCAACAGTTCTCCTCCTCCCCAGTCCTCCTCCTCCTCCTGGGGCCTTTTCCTGGGTTCTCCTCCTGGGTCCTCCTCCTGGGTCCTCCTCCTCCTGGGTCCTCCTTCTCCTCCCCTCCTCAGTCCTCCTCCTACTCTTCCTCCTCGTCCTCAGTCATCCTCATCAGTCCTCAACAGTTCTCCTCCTCCCCAGTCCTCCTCCTCCTCCTGGGGCCTTTTCCTGGGTCCTCCTCCTGGGTCCTCCTCCTCCTGGGTCCTCCTTCTCCTCCTCAGTCCTTCTCCTCCTCCTCCTCCTCCTCATTCCTCTTCCTCCTCTTCCTCCTCCTCCTCCCTCTCAGTCATCCTCCTCAGCCATCCTCCTCAGTCCTCCTCCTCCTCCTCCTGGGTCCTCCTCCTCCTCCTGGGGCCTTTTCCTGGGTCCTCCTCCTGGGTCCTCCTCCTCCTGGGTCCTCCTCCTCCTGGGTCCTCCTTCTCGACTCCTCCTCAGTCCTTCTCCTCCTCCTCCTCCTCCTCAGTCCTCTTCCTCCTCTTCCTCCTCCTCCTCCCTCTCAGTCATCCTCCTCAGCCATCCTCCTCAGTCCTCCTCCTCCTCCTCCTGGGTCCTCCTCCTCCTCCTGGGTCCTCCTGGGTCTTCCTGATCCTCCCCAGTCCTCTTCCTCCTCCCCTCCTCAGTCCTCCTCCTACTCTTCCTCCTCGTCCTCAGTCATCCTCATCAGTCCTCAACAGTTCTCCTCCTCCCCAGTCCTCCTCCTCCTCCTGGGGCCTTTTCCTGGGTCCTCCTCCTGGGTCCTCCTCCTCCTGGGTCCTCCTTCTCCTCCTCAGTCCTTCTCCTCCTCCTCCTCAGTCCTCTTCCTCCTCTTCCTCCTCCTCCTCCCTCTCAGTCATCCTCTTCAGCCATCCTCCTCAGTCCTCCTCCTCCTCCTGGGTCCTCCTGGGTCTTCCTGATCCTCCCCAGTCCTCTTCCTCCTCCCCTCCTCAGTCCTCCTCCTACTCTTCCTCCTCGTCCTCATCAGTCCTCAACAGTTCTCCTCCTCCCCAGTCCTCCTTCTCCTCCTGGGGCCTTTTCCTGGGTCCTCCTCCTGGGTCCTCCTCCTCTTGGGTCCTCCTCCTCCTGGGTCCTCCTTCTCCTCCTCAGTCCTTCTCCTCCCCTCCTCAGTCCTCCTCCTACTCTTCCTCCTCGTCCTCAGTCATCCTCATCAGTCCTCAACAGTTCTCCTCCTCCCCAGTCCTCCTCCTCCTCCTGGGGCCTTTTCCTGGGTCCTCCTCCTGGGTCCTCCTCCTCCTGGGTCCTCCTCCTCCTCCTGGGTCCTCCTTCTCCTCCTCAGTCCTTCTCCTCCTCCTCCTCAGTCCTCTTCCTCCTCTTCCTCCTCCTCCTCCCTCTCAGTCATCCTCCTCAGCCATCCTCCTCAGTCCTCCTCCTTCTCAGTCCTCCTCAGTCCTCCTCCTCAGTCCTCCTCCTCCTCAGCCATCCTTCGCAGCCATCCTTCTCAGTACTCTTCAGTACTCTTCAGTACTCTTCAGTCCTCAAAATGTTTGTCCGCTGATGTCCACCAATGTCTGCTAATGTCCACCAATGTCCATCCAAGTCCGCCAATGTCCGTCCGGGTCCGCCAATGTCCGTCCGAGTCCGCCAATGTCCGTCCGAGTCCGCCAATGTCCGTCCAAGTCCGCCAATGTCCGTCCGTGTCCGCCAATGTCCCAAAAAACACGTCCGTTGTCTCATAGAATCCAAAAAGGACAGGACATAGGCGGACATAGACGGACATGACACCCCCCCCCAGTATAGTAGAACACCGTTCTCCTCTTCAGTAATTATCCCTCTAACAGGCGGTGAACAAGACGATAACCCAGTCTCTTGAGGATCACGTGCCTGGAGAGACCCCCATCAGACGAGCCTCACAGAAAACAGACTCCCTGGACAAGTCTGCCATTCAGGAGTTCGTGGCAGACAAACTGGTCACCCAACTGTATAGTATTGTTCAGAGGGTTCACAATAACATGCCCAGTAACATGCTGGGCGAGAGGGACGTCTTCCCCAAACTGCCTGGTACGTTGTCTTGATACTTTGAAATTATTACGATACCTTTCAGCTTTGTTGATTGTACCGAGACCTGCTTACTTACTTCTGCTCAAACTTAACCTTTTTAAAGTATTGATCATTTTCATCTGCAGGTTCACATCTGGAGTTAAAAAATCCCTCGTTGGAGTTCATCAAATGTGTCTGTAAAGTCCTCAGCCTTGACAGCACAATCTCTGCTCAAGTGCACAAGCTGAAGAAGGATCTTCTGCGTCTGGTATCGGTGGGGGAATTTTCAGAAGCCAGCATATTCAAGGACCCCTGTCTGTCATTCGTGCTGCCTGAAGTTATCTGTAATAAGTGCAGTAACTGCAGAGATCTGGACTTATGCCGAGACCCCTATTTAGATCAAGGTCCACCCCCGCAGTGGCTCTGTGCTCACTGTCAACGACCCTACGATAGGGACATGATCGAAGAGCGCCTGGTTGCGTATCTGCAGCAAAAGTTAGTGTCGCACACCCTACAGGATCTGTTGTGTAGCAAGTGTAACGACGTCAAGAACACCAACATGTCGGATTATTGTATGTGCGCGGGAAGTTTTGTAACACTTCTTCACATGACGGATATGCAGCGGTTCCTCCTGGTGTTGGATAATATCTCTCAGCATTTTGATCTAACGCTCCTTGCTGGTCTTGTTGAGTGGACCAAGGGTCAAATACACGACCCTTAAAACTTTTAAAACGAATAATAGTGTTTTTAAACTATTTGTGCTCTTCAAGATAGTGCAATACTGTGATCAGATTAAGCTGTTAGCTTTTGACTGAACTTTTTATTAAGGTTCTTCGATATCGCTTTATCTTTGCATATCGCTCATAAAAATTCAAACTTAAATGAATTCGCAAGGTGTTTAATTACAAAAAAATATTTCATTGTTGCTAAGTACGCATCTTGTTAAATTTACCACATTTTTACTGAAATTGGCTTTCCACACTCTGATTTACATTTTTATTTCGTATTTTCTCAAATAAAACTATGAATTTAAAAATCCATATCCATTCTCAACCCAATTACAGGGAAGTGGTTTTGCAAAGATTTTATTCGTATTTTATTTAATTGATATTTCAGATATACTTGTGTTTTTAAAAGTATTACGCGAGTTTAAATGATTTTGAATAAGAAATACATTTAGAGAACATTTTATGACTCTGTATATGTTTTGTACTCAAATACAAAATAATGAATCTTGAACGGATTCACTTTCAGGATACAGAACTAGAAGGCAGTTATCAATTGTCAATATGCATTATGCAATAACACTATATTTAAAAAAACATTTGGGATATTGAGCTGTAGATCACAACGAGCGTGCTAAATCACTCACACTGGAACTTTGAAACTCTTTTAAAAGGGCCCGACTGTTGGAACCAACATTGAACATGCTACTTACATTTATAATTCTCCCCGTAATTCCTCTACCGGGAATTATATCCCCAAAAAGTCGTGAACACTGGGCACTGATAATGTCACCCATGCAGAGAGTCAGTTAGACACATTTTTATTTAACTGACTCTACTGTCATGTGACTTTTTAACACGGTCCCTGAAAGACTAACCGAAACCCTATCCTTTTGTTCTGATTAGGGGGTGCAGGATTGACGATAAAAATAAACTTACTCGGATTTTCAAAATTTGTGTACCATTGTTTTCTAGAGACTGTGAGAATTTTCACTGTACAAAATTTGTTACACCTTTTTAGAAAGATCAGTGAGTTACGCCTAGGTGCCATACTTGATCGTGCGCGGCTTTTAAAGCAAAAGTAGGCGTAAATGGGTTTTTTTTTAAAGTCACGTAATTTAACGAAATACGTTGATTTTGGTCGTATTGTTCTGTCATACTTTTGGTTCCTGCTTTTAGCTGTAACATAATGTCTGATGGTTGGAAATGCTTTAAATTTTTCGGACACTTTCTTTGTAAGTTTATGAGTAAGCTAACCAATTTTTGTTAAAATTGGACCAAGGGAAGGTTACTCAAAACGGTTTTGTTTCAAGAATTGTGTGCTGGCCGAAATAACTATAAGCGCTAAAAACCATCGTACAGTCGGCACGCGCGGCTCACTGTCGATGGCGCACTACCTACTCTTATCGTAACCCAATCCATAGGCATAACTAAATCATATGCTGAAACCTTGTCCACTGTTAGCAGTTAGTGTTAAACTTAATGAACTGACCCGGCGCGCGCTACTTCGTATCGTAGCACTTGCCTCTGGTCAATATTTCGAAAAGATAGCAGTGCGCGCTACTTCGAAGAAATTTAGACGAGTATCATCGAATCTGTCAAGCTGAAACCCTAACAAGAAATAAAACCAACTTACGTGTAACGTGATTGATGCAGTAATTTTAACTTTGCCCGATATCTCGCTAATGGAGCATTTTAAGTTTAAACCATATGTCATACGTGATACGTAGGGTGTTTTGAAAATTTATCGATTGAACTTGGATTCAACTGCAAACTGTCGCCTGTCGGGCCATTTTGAAAAAGGCACGCGCTATCTTTATTCTCCACCGAAAGCACAGTCACAACACACAATCTAATTTTATAATTGATACCTATGAAATATAATTGATTAACAATTACAAATTAACGATGTCAACCCTTCCAGTTCCAGATCATTGCTGATCTGCGAATTAACAAAGCAACCTGCAACAATCTTGTTCATGTTGTAGGTTTATAACCTATCAGCAATCAAGCCGGACGCGCGCCGCGATCAGTTGAAACAAATATTTTACGAGTAACACCCGTTCACAATATAACAAGCAACAAGACTGTTGACAACTCGGCGCCCATATTGATGATCATTGATAGATTATAAACCTAAAATGCGTTGTTGTTGAACAACAAGTAACAACCTAAGATTCAGCGGAGAGAGAAACTGGCACTACACTACACCGCACACTGCACAGTAACAGTGAATTTGATGTTAAAGAGTTGTCAAACAATTTTGAAAGTAAGTAAAACAAAATTTAAGTAAAACAAAATTTAAGTAAAACAAAATTTAAATTTTATTGCCATATTACTTGCTCTATTCAAAGCCCTCTCGCTTGCAGTAGCGCGCATTCATGGCTTTCGCCACAAAACCACTTCGTGCAATGACAGGGGGTCACGCGACGATGTGTTTATAAACATATAGATAAAACATTTGTAGCGCGTTGCGTTACTGTGCCGCGCCGCGCGGCGCACTCAACGAGGCTTCTCACAGCGATCGGCGAAATGCGCTACTGTACCGCGCCGAGCTGCGAAGAATTGACATCATCAATTAAATAAAACATATAGATAAACGATCAATACATATAGATAAACAAATATATAGAGATTAGGCGGAATGACATGGGCTGAACGCGGCCCAATAACTTTTAAAGCACTGCACCCCAAGCATGATATCAGCCTAGCACAAACTTATAAATTGTTTCAGGATTTTCATAACAAATCATTTTGTAAATACTTTGACCATTGTTAATGGTCTGGCCCGGCGCGCTACTTCGTAGCACTTGCCAGCGGGCCAATATTTCGAGAAGAAAGCGGCGCGCGCTACTTCGAGGAAATTTGGACACGCTTAACATCCGTCAAGCAAATACTTTAAAATTTACTAAGATTTGTATTGAATTTTTATACTGAATTTTTATACAACCTACCAGAACGCGCGCCGAGTTGGACGATCGTCGCGCGAGTCCAACTCGGAAAAATATTTTTCAAGTATCACCCGTTAAATAAGGTCATTGCTATATTATGGGTATATAATACTATTATGGTGCAGTTTATATCCCGCCAAAATCACACTCCCCAAATCGCGCGCATTGCTGTAACTTCGTTCAAACTTCATGAATCGAGATAAATTATTCTGCAATGTATTCAGAATTAATATATGCTCTTATACAAATCACTTGGAATACTTTTGAAAAAAATAACAAGCTCAAAAACGCTACTGACGTATTTCTGCATAAAAAGCATAATAGCGTAAGAAGCTTTTGTCGAGGTGCCTCGAAAGTGATCTTAAACGATTCCCCGTTCAATTTTGGTCGAGGAGCGCTAACTTAGTGCATAATCAAGGAAGTTATAGACATATTTCATACGTATCAAATTGGATGTGCTTTTGGCGGAGACATAATGTGCGCCATACTATTATATGATACTATATCATATATTGCTTGTAAATACTATTGAATATTGCATATAAGGATGTAAAAGTTTCATAATAAATAATATAATACATGTTACAAAGTTAAGTGTCTAGTATTTGTGTATGTTATTATTAAGTTCGATTGAAATATTTGCTTAAAACACTACTACATGTTATAAAAAACACAGAAAGGAAAAGGACAACACATCACACGGACGGAAACTGCTGCTGAGTTGACGAGTATCTGATTGTATTAGGATTAGATTCTCAATCCTCAGGAGCACCCTGATAGCGGTCAGGGGTGAGAGAGGGAGACGGCAATCGTATACATTGCCAGTCAGTGTAACTTCGTTTAACTTGATACCTGCCACCATGGACTATGAATGTTTCTAGACACTATCCTTTTGATATTGAGATATTGGTATTTCAGATCACGTGTACATCGTTCCTTTTTTTACGACACAGTAATTTATTGACACTCACAGCTATAATTTTAATCATTGAATCAGTATTTTTATCTGTGCTCTGCGAATGCATCACATGAATCAGTTTTTTAATCTATTAAATTATTACACATTTGTGCTCTGCTTTAGCATCACTTGACTATTTAAAAAAAATTGTTTGTTCAGGCCATGACCTTATAGTCAGCCAATTGGCCATTGCTATATTATGTGTATATTGTTTGAATATTCTTTTCTTTTCTGTATCTGATTGTATGTATATTAATGGTTACCACTCCATCTTAGACGACAACTCCATCTGTCAAATTATATGTTTAGAATCATCCATGACAATTGTCCTACAATTGTCCTACAAACTTTATGAACAAATTTAGTTACATATCAGGAGGTAGTAGGAGCGGCGAAAGCTGCAACCTTTATGTCAATAGATCAACATCACATAAAAACTTTCAATACTTGGGGGCAAAATGTTGGAATAATGTTCCAACAGATCTACGAAATCTGCCCGATGTTAAAAGTTTTAGTGATTCGTATAAGAAACAGCTACTATCATCTATAACAACAGACCCTAATTATACCGTCGACAATTCATATGACAAATTTTACACTGCAATCATAGTCGCCGATAACTAAGTAACTTCTAATTCTTTTAAATCTGAGGCATATATAATTGATGTATCGAAAAGATATTCCCTTTTTTACCACCTTACCATTCTGATTGATTTTGCACATGACTGACATGTTTTAACTGGAGAAGGGGTTCCCACAGTGGTAGTTTTATAAACCACTTTTAATTTATTGACCTATTATACTTAGTGGTAGTTTTATAGACCACATTTAATTTATTAACTTAGCATACTTAGTATTTTTTTTTGGTGACTGTATCACCCAGTTTTAACATTTGATAATTGTACAGTTTATTGACGACACATTGACTGAATGTTATTTTATATTCTAATTTATATTCTAGATATTTTATTTATTTTACAACAGACGACAACTTCCTGTTTTTTCTTCTATATTAGTTACTCATATCTCTTGTACAGACTTTTTTACAAGGACATTGACAAATGATACTCACATTAGGCATTCATTATTGCATCTAAATTATTTCACTTGCATTAGGCTTAGAAATTTATTCTCTGGTCAACAGATTTCAAATGTTTAATTAATTTGTAGTATGACAGTAAGCTATATAAGAAGTTATTTAATTTTGCTTGGGCTATTATATTGACTAGGTATTGAGGTTTAATGATGATATGGAATTTGAATTCTATATAAATTTACACTATGTGGTTGGGGCATTTTGCATAGTAAATATGGTTACTACTCATATATATCATATTATTTGATTGGTATTCGATTTCTGATTATTTCTCTAGGAATATGATTATTATATCTCAATTTGGCTTTAGGTAGGGTGCCCCGCTAAAAGAACTGGATTCTTCCAGGAAGCATCCCGTGCACAGAGCTTGGTCTACATATATATTAAATTATTAACCATTCATTCTGTATGTGCACGAAAATTTATTTCAATCAATTAATTATGGGTGTCTTGTTCATTAAAGCAAGGCTCCATGGCAGCAATATCATTCGATAATTGCAGATTTTCTATGGGAGAAATGTCTGTCTCTTTGTTTTC